CTGAGATTTTTTTTTTTTTTTTGCATGACCTGCTTTATGTCTGTTGTTGACCACTGTTCCTTTATTCACCTTCATTATCTGTTCAAAAACTGAATCTCATTTTTTTAAATAAATTTATTTATTTATTTGTTTTTATTTATTTTTGGCTGCATTGGGTCTTCGTTGCTGCGTGTGGGCTTTCTCTCTTTTCAGCGAGCAGGAGCTACTCTTCCTTGTGGTGTTCAGGCTTCTCATTGTGGTGACTTCTCTCGTTGTGGAGCATGGGCTCTAGGCGCACGGGCTTCAGTAGTTGTGGCACATGAACTCAGTAGTTGTGGCTCGCAGGCTCTAGGGCGCAGGCTCAATAGTTGTGGCACACGGGTTTAGTTGCTCCACGGCATGTGGGATCTTCCCAGACCAGGGCTGGAACCCGCACCCCTAGCATTGGCACGCAGATTCTTAACCACTGCGCCACCAGAGAAGTCCCATGAATCTCATTCTTTTCATTTATTTTTTTTATTATTCATTGAGTCTGATTTTATAAGGCTTAGTATTGGAATTGTTTTGTTTTGCATTTCTGGGACTTTCTAATATTCCTTCTTTCAGTTTGCCCCCTATTGAGCCAACTGTCCTGCTGTCCCATCTTGCAACTACCTACAAATGGACAAAGGGACTGATTTGCTGTCACCACGAACTGTCTTGTCAGTCACACGGTGTTGAGTGGCAGCCAGGCCTGGCTTCCTGTGAAACTCCCACCCAAAGTCTGGCTTGCTGTGGGCACTTCCCACCTCCTCATTTTAATGTAAATAATTTAATTGCATTGATGGTCCATTTAATTTCTAAACTATAGGTTATAGAACACAAAACAAAATCACAGCGTTGGAGAACACAGTTTGCAGAGACACACGTTTACCCAGAAGCTGTAGTCAGCAAGGCTGTGCTGTGTGAGTGATTCCGGGTGCTGTTTTTATTTTTTGGTAAAATAGAACTGTTGTGCAGAATGGCCTCTTCTTAGCCGTCATTCTGGTTAAATGAGGTGGCTGCTTTTCAGAAGCGCTGGGAGTGGGTTTTACTCTGGAGAGAAGTTCAGATCCACCTTCCCGGGGTCCCTGGAGAACTGTGGGCCAGCAAAGCAGAGACCTCACCCCTGCCACGTCCAGACAGGTCTGCCTGTCCCGACACTGGTTTAGCCTCCAGGACCACCCACCTGGGAGGAGGCCAGGCCCTGCTAGATGTGCACATTGATGATGATGACAGGCCAGGTTGCAGCTGGGTATGTATGTGTCTGTCTGTCTGGCAGGAGGGATGGAGGGAGGCAGTTGTTCAAATGCCTGTAGTTGCCAAGAGTGAAGTGAAAAGCTGAAGGAGGATGCAGGAGGCTTTCAGCTGCCCTCCCCATGCAGGCCACTCGGCCCCACACAGGCAGATTGGACTGGGTGCTGCCAGGGAGGTGACAGAGCACACGTTTGCAGGATGAATGGGTACAGTGACTCAGGCTGCAGGGGACTTCCCGGTGCATCAGTCCGTCACCGAGGGCAATCCAGAGGCTGAAGGGCCGCGTGATTAATTGTCAAGCTGTGCTGACTCACTAGCTCTGCAGTGCTGATTCCATTTGGGTTGGGAGAGGTGGGCAGGGGCTACTCAGCCAGAGACCGTAGCCCACACTACCAGGTCTCAGAAGTTTTATAGAAGGGCAACCACAGTTTGGATGTGTGGAGAATAAATAAGAAGCTAGTAAAGAGATTACATATAGCGGTGGAAGAGATTTTTTTAAAAACCCCCATCTAATTTAATATTTATTTTCATTTTGTACCCAGATGTCACATTTTCTACATTAAGATATCATCATACTGACTCTGCCACCCCTTACAGGGACAGGGGATGGACAAAAGCTTCTCAATCTATACCTTTTTGTAGCATTTTGATTTTGAGCCTTGAAATACATTTACAATTTTTGTTCTGTTTTGGCTGCACCAAGCAGCTTGTGGTATCTTAGTTCCCCGACCAGGGATTGAACCCGGGCCCACGGCAGTGAAAGCACCAAGTCCTAATCTCTGGGTCACCAGGGAAGTCCCTGCATTTACAAATTTTAGAACACATACAGAAAAGTAGATGGAAGGCATAAAAGCATTCATGTATCCCAGTGATTTTCCCACTGATACCAGTTATTTCAGCATCCACGGTGTCTCTTCATTCTGAAGTTTACCTTCAACACAAGAGCGTCTGACGAGAATATTTAAAGTAATAAACCATTTGTTGGAAAATGAAAACCTGTACGTATTTAACTATCTTGCTGCACTTGGCAAGTGGGAAGGCCGTTGTGCCAAGGCTTTGAAGTGTGCAGAGGGACGTGCGTCTTTAACTGCCTGTGACTGTGCTTTGGGGTTTGTGAAGGACAGTGAGCTCTTGTGAGCAGTGAGCAGAATCCCTGCTCTGGGATTATTTTCTCAGGCGCTACTAGTTTTATGGCCACATGCCGTTGTTAAAACTCTGGATGTATAAACAGTCCAACGTAGTCCTACATCTGTCTCCAGACGATTCTAATGTTCTGGTAGCAGTGGGTCAAGGTGCACTCCGGTGTCGCTGTCTCTTGTGTGATCCCGGCTTACCTCTCCGGCATCCTTTCCTCATCCCGAGGAGTGAACTCTGCGACCCGAGAACAGGAAACAGGACCCTCCCTCTGTGTGATTTTCTCCATATTCACATCAGAACATGAGTGGCTGCGTCCACTGGCGACACTGCTCAGGACTGTCCTGCCGATCGCGCCTCATTTGATGCGTCATGCCTGGTGGTCTGTTGGTCTGTGCTCAGTTTGTGTCTTCCTGCTCCCCAGGAAACAGACTTTATAGTCTGCATTAAGGAGAATGAAGGTGGGATCTCCCCCACAGCATCCTTTGCCAGAATATTCCGAGGGGGAGCACCTGCCCTCCCCCGGTGAACTTACCCTTGCAGAAGCCAGGGTCTCTGGTCGGACTTGTCCTGGTCTCTGCCCCCTCCTAAGAGGGATCTGCTTGCAAACTGCATCTTCAGCTGCTGCCACAAGGAACTATGTGCTTGCTTCCCCTTCTGCTTTTCTTCTCTTCCTTGCCTCCCTCCCTTTTCCCCATGTTAAAAATATAATTCCATGAAATCCCTGAGACAGAAGCATCAGAGCTGTTGGGTGTGCAGTGGGGGAGGGGCTTGCTTAGGAAAAACCATTTCATAGTCGTGCTCTTCCTCGCCTCCACCCTCTTTCTACCCCGGCCTTAATATGTCAAATCTGTAGCTTGATCTGGGGGAAAGCAGACACAAGAGGGGACCCTTGGAAAGCGGCTGTGTGGAGGAGTCTGGGCTGCCAGAGCCCTGCGTCTCTCTGGGAGCTTTCCACTGGCCTGTGCGTGCACTGCATCTGTGGCCTGCATTTCTGGGCCTTTGTAGTTTCAAAGACTGTTTTCTCTTCCTTATAAGGAGGCACTTGGCCAACTCAAGAGGGCAAGCAGGTGCCTGGTGGCCTGTGTCCCAGCATCCTCAGAAGTCAGAGCCCTGCAGGTCCCTGGCTCCCCGGCCGCGGACAGGGCTGGGATGGCTGTTGGGGTGATTCTTCTAAACCAGTTCATAAAGGACACCTGCTGAGACCTGAGAGTGAGGATGGACAGGACCAGAGAGCATTATTGTGGTTCCCACCTGCATGGCAGCCTCGTCTAGACAGAGGTCTTTCAACATGGACAAGATAATTGCCGTTTCCGGTACTGAAGACATATTAAAGTTATAGCTTCACATACTCCCACATGTGCTTCAGCTTCCAAATTAGCAGGATATGACTTAGTGACACTTCGTTTACTCTATGATGAGACGTGCTATGAGCTTAGCTGTAAATGTGTGGGCCTGGATTTGACTTGTGGAATCTCTGGTTTCAAATGAAAGGACATTGGCTTCATTCTCAGTTGCAGGCGCCTAAGCCTTGTCCCTGGATGCAGGCACTGCACTACAGGCACCAAATGAGTGCTCCCTCCCAGCCCCTTCTGGACGAGTCTCTGCAGAGGGCATCAAGCTGATGCCTTTTAGTCCATTTGTCAAAACCTTCATTCAAAGTGAGGCATCCCTCATGGGAGCGACTTGAAAGCCGCATGCTTTATTGGCTTCCCTGGCTCTTGGGGATTATTATCCTGCTAACCTGAGCCCCTGGTGCCCCTGCTTCCTGACCACCCCCTCCATCTCGCTCAATTACCACTTAAACAGCCGAGTCCAGTCACCTTATTAGTTTATTGATGTGAGGAAGAAACACCTCATTATCAGAGCGTCCTGAGAAGTGGGCCAGCGTGGGAGAGAGGGGGTCAGGGCTCCGGGCTACAGTAAACAGCAGGTTCCACCTGCAAAATCGCCCTGCCCCTGAGAGGGCTTCACACAGGGCGTGCCCCTGAGCCAGCGGTGCCCTGCAGAGGTAGAGATGTATTGCAGTGCATAACTTTCTCCTTTTATTCTCAGAAACTCAGATCTTAAAATTCCAGTTCTCTCTTCTTGAATGGCCTTTTTCCCCTAGAGTGGGGCATGCTGGGAGCTGATGGAATTCAATGTCTCCCTGTGGACACGTTACCCTAAATCACAAAGCAATTTTTCTGGGTATTGATCCAGGGCACGTCCCAGCTTGAAAGGCACAAGGAGAGGCGCGTGGGCCCCGGGCTGACGCGGGAGGGAGGACGTGTGCAGAAGCTGCAGGACACAGACGGTCTCCAAAGGAGCCATCCAGCAGCCAGGGCACCCCCATTCGGCAGGTACCCAGAAGGTGCTTTCGAGAACGCCTTGGAGCTGCTGTACTTCTGAGAGTGTGTGAGATGCCAGCCCTTTTCCCACAACCAAGGAAAAATGTGTCTCCACACAGCCGTCGGAATTATTTTTTCAGATGAAAATTGGACTTGAGAGGAGAAAATGATTAAGGCATAAAATATTCATTACACATTCGTTTGTTCACACATCCCAAGAAGGAAAAGAAGCCCCTTCCCGGAATTGCGCTCACTGTTCCTCCTGTGTCTCTCTCTCCCCAGTCGTGCCAAGCTGACCTGGTGAAGGACAACGGCCACAAGTACTTCCTCTCGGTCTTGGCAGATCCGTACATGCCAGTAAGGACCAGCTCTGGTGACACATCTCCCGGGGACTCTGGGGAAGGTTGCTCCACGCAGAGGGGCCCGCAGGGGGGCGGGAGGGGGTCCGCTCTCACCCCGGCTCTGCCTCACTCAGACGGTGCCCTTTGCTTCCCGTCATGTTATTTCAGTAGCTGCTTCCCTGAGTAAAGAGTTACAGTGAAACTTGACACACAGGCTGTATTTTTGTTTACAGTGAGTCCATTTTCCGAGCACATCTTTGTAGTGAAGTAGGATCCACTCTGCCTCGCACCCTGTCAGCCAAGTTAGATCAACGAGTACTTGCACCTCCATAATATGGCAGCTCCTTTGCCCAGTGCAGGCTCCGGACATGACAGGAGGCTGTTGCACCTTCTCAATCAGGAAGGAAAGCCGGGGAGGGGGGCGGGGAGGTGGAAAGAAGAGATTGAAAGTTTAAATTTTAAATATATTTTATTGTATTAAGTTGTTTAAAAATTAGTAATCCATAAATAGCATATAGAATAACTTCCTATAAGTGTTTTTTTAATTAATTTCTATGTTCCCTACCTCTAGCTCCTAGCATAGTAAAAAGAACAAAATAGACACCCCAAATAATTACTTAATATAACTTATTTTTATCAGAATGTTTAATTAAGTCTAACAGCTTGTTCACACAGTCCTAGGTGGCTTTGGTTGTGTAAAGGAACTTTTGTGTGTAAATTCACCCTCTAGTTGGTTTTCTGAACTAAAGGACAATAATAAAAAAACAAACACATTTTTCAAAATACAGAAAACGTCAAAAACAGGATTGTTATGAAAGGTAAGTAGAACTTGTGTGTTTTAACTGAAGTGTGGTTTTTAAACATTATCATAGGCAGCTAAAGTTTAGACTTTATACAAATGTTGGAAATAATCACTTCCCTGTTCTTCAGGGTAAGATACAAATCAAACAAATAAGACATCTAAGCTGATAAAATGCAATAAAATGGTGAGCGAAGCCAGCACAAGTGGGCCCCACTTCAACTACAAACACATTGAAGCTTTGAGGACATAGATGTGAAAGAAAGGAAAGGAAATCCCCAAATGCCAAAAACCGACATCAGAGGAGGGGCACGGTAGCACTCACAGGCAGACCTCACAGTGACCCTGGCGCTCCACGCGCGTGCGGCCCCGAGTCTGCATGGAGGACACAGGCCTGTGGGGCGAGCCGCCCACTCACCAGACAAGGACAAGAAGAGCTGGTCCTGTCTGTCCACGTCTGGACGGAAAGTCAGGAAAGGCCTCCGTGAGAAACAGAAACCCCCCGTTGCAGGGGGAGTCGCCAGCTAAGAGAGGAACATGTAATCTCCAGGGCCTGCCTGGAAGCAGCAAAGGCTGAACCTTTCTTCAGGGACACCTACGAAGCCAGGGTCCTGAGACTCGTGACAGGAGCGCTGGCCTGCTCCTAACCCATGTTGAAGGGACATAAGCAGAGCTGACACATAAGAGGGTTGGCTCCCCAAGAATTGAAACTAATAGGATTCTCTGAAAAAGACTGACAATCAATACAAATAAGTATGTTTAAAATTACTGAATAAACAATTTGTTTTAATTACATCCAAAAATAAACTCGTATGTTGTTTCCTCATAAGTACTTTTGTGACTATTATAAAAGAATAATGTATTCTGTCCTTTTTACTCCTCCTCAAAAAATGACCAACTAGAGTCTTTTAATAAATAGGCAGATTTGAGGGGGAAAAAAGAACCTGTAATGAAAGACAGTCACTGTCATTAAAAGCTCCGTAGACGAATTAAACAGCAGAATCGACACAACAGGTAAAGGAATCCGTAGAGAAATCACGTGAGATGAAGCAAAGCGGAGATGTGACGGAGGGGCTAAGAGGGCTCGCTGCATCCAACACAGGCCAGAGGGAGATGGTGGGGGCAGGTGAGGGGGTGGGGGGGGCGCACGATCCAACTGGTCTAGTGGAGAATTTTCCAGATTTGAAGAAGAAATGAGTTTTCAGGTTTATAAAGCACAATTAGTCTTGAGAAGGTTAAATAAAAACAAATCCCCACAAAGACTTATCATAATGAAAGTAGAGAATGTGAAAGGCAAGAGGAAAAATCTTGAAAGTAACCAGGACAAAAAGGAAGACTGTTGCAAAGATCTGAACAGCAGTCACCAGAGTAACGGGTGGAAGACTGAGGAAAGGCCCTCACAGCACAGGGGGAACCGTCACCCCGGGACCCTGTGCCTGCCCTGGTGTCAGTCAGGGAGAGGGCGAAGCCAGCACATCTCAGGACCGATGGCTTCCCGTGCGCTGACCCCACCCAGGCAGCCAGGAGGACCGCACTTCGGGAGGAGATGGAGCTCAGGGGACAGTAGAATGCAGGAAGCATCGGAAAGCAGACATCTGCAAACTTGTCATGTATCTAAATCAGCATCGGCTGTAAGAATAAGTAAAAACAGTCACTCACGTGAGGGGCTGACACGTGAGGGGCTGACACGTGAGGAGGAGTATCGGGAATCCAAGGGAGACACAGGAAATGACTAACTTGATTCATTCTCTAAAGAATGACTAGGTACCACTAATAGTTAACATAACACTGATCTCTGAGTCAGTAGAGACACAGAGGAGAGGAGAAAATGAGAATCGATCCGCCCACTAGAAGACCACGAGAAAGGGTTAATGAAGCCAAGTTAGGGACTGTGGTCGGTCGTTTTACGACCAGGGTGATTTGCTTCCATAGGCTTGGGCAGGACAGGGCGGCCTCTGATAGAGCAGAATCAGAGAGTCCCATGCCCCTCCTGCAGCATCAGACGTCAGGGACCATCTGTCAGACCCTCTTAAAAGTGCTCTTCCTTTTTGTGGACTCAAAAGACAATAAAGCTGGCTCTCATTACTTTAATTACACACCAAGCATAATCATAAAGATTCTGGAAGGATAACTCTAGTGCTTGGGAGTGATGAGTTTCCACCATGAAAAAAGTGCAAACTAGCAGGTGACTTCTGTTTTCCAGGCTGAGCACAGGACCATGACAGCCTTCATTCTGGCTGTGATCGTTAACAGCTATAACACGGGGCAGGTGAGTGTCACGTTGCGTCCCCACCCCTGCAGGGCCTCCCTGTGGGTTGCGCAGCCCCGAGCTCCAGTATCTGGGGGACAGCGGAACTGTTCTGAATGTCTGATGAAACAGTGACCTCAGAGGAGGGGGTGTTGCAGGATCACACCAACCCAAGGGGCTCCATGGGAGGAGCCAGGGTGAAGCCAGGGTGAATTGATATTGGTGGGATTTTAAATGAGGAAAATTGAGGGACTTCCCCAGCGGTCCAGTGGTTAAAAATCTGTGCTTCCACTGCAGGGAGCACGGGTTCGATCCCTGGTCCGGGAACTAAGATCCCACATGCTGCGCAGCACAGCCAAAAAAAAAAAAAAAAAAAAAGAGGAAAATTGAGGACATCTTGCGATGTGATTAAGCAATGTTTCCCTGAGAAATGCTGGGAGCTGGGGTCCAGCCCAGCACCCCTCCCCCCTCAGTGGTCAGGGTGATGCCGTGTGTTGCCTGCCTTCTCGCAGGAAGCCTGCCTCCAGGGAAACCTGATCGCCATCTGCCTGGAGCAGCTCAACGATCCCCACCCCCTGCTGCGCCAGTGGGTGGCCATCTGCCTGGGCCGGATCTGGCAGAACTTTGACTCGGCCCGGTGGTGCGGGGTGAGGGACAGCGCTCATGAGAAGCTCTGCAGCCTTCTCTCCGACCCCATCCCTGAGGTGAGTCCACACCCACGGCCACTTCAGGCTAACTGAGGTCAAGGTATGCCTGGAGACCACACAGCCAGAGAGGCCCAGCCCCGGGCCCAGACCCCTGCGTCCCCCTCTGGGTTCCCCGGTGCCTGGTGTGGTCTCTGATGCCTGCACAGCCTGTCACCTGGCCCCCAGGCGGGGCCGCCACTTACCTCTTGTTTCCCTGCTCCTGCTCGTCTACACGAGTGGAGCTGGGCTGAGAGGACCGTGGACGAGACCGGGCTGCGTCGGGTCGGCTCCAGGGGCCCCGACTAGAGCCAAACGGCCGGCCGCTGGGTGACTGCCCCCTGTCCCACCTGCAGGTGCGCTGCGCAGCAGTCTTTGCCCTCGGCACATTTGTGGGCAACTCCGCAGAGAGGACGGACCACTCCACCACCATCGACCACAATGTGGCCATGATGCTGGCCCAGCTCATCAACGACGGCAGCCCCGTGGTCCGGAAGGTGCGTGGCCCCCGCCCCCAGGCAGCACCGAGCGCCTCCAGGCCGGGCTTCCCCGGCGCCCAGGTTGAGCCATGACCCTGACCCGACCACAGCAGTGAGCACTCAGTCCCCGCCACACCGGTGTGCATCCTGCTGAGAGCAGGCTTTAAATGTTTAATTCTCTCCAAAATAGTTTCTTCACCAGATACTTGTGTGATTGCTTCATTTAAAGGCATTTAACAGGCTGCGTCTTCTGGCAGCTTGTATAATAGGCTCCTTCCTGCCTGGGAGCAACACTTACACACATCAGGAGATTCAAAAGAGCAGTAGCCACCCACAGACAGACGGAAAGGTTTGTGTAGTGTATTCCCCTCCCTGCCCCCATGTTTGTCAGTGAATGAACAGAGCAGTTCTTTGCAGTTGAAACTTTTACTTGTCTGTTTCGATGTAGATGTACCACAATTTCCATCCAAGATCTCACACCCCTGTCAAAAGTTGGCCAGAACGGTCAACCTTCCCCCTCCCCCAGCCAAAAAGGGCCGTGGGGGGGAACCCCAGTGTCTGCTGGCCTCATTTTGGGGTGGCCTTGGAGCCCTGCTCTGGGAGCAGAGACTGTTCTAGGACCAGGAGGGCAGCGTCATTCTGTGTGTGACCTTGAGTCACCCCTCATCACCTAGAGGTGCCGGGCTGCTTCTCGGCATGTCTGAGATCCCTATGCCAGGGAAGGGAGGTTGGGTCTGTCAGAGGTGGGTGTGGTTTTGAAGGGTATTTGTTTGGAGAGCAGACCCCACTGACTTGGTGGCAGGGAAGTTGTCAGAGCAAGTTCACATCAGCCAGGAAGGACTCATTTCATCTTGAGTTCCCTCAGAGAGCCGTGAACCCAGTTGCTAAAATGCCAGGTTATCTAGAGAAATGTTAACAATGTGGAATGATCCTGGAGGTGCCTTTTCACAGCCCTTACTTTTTTATTTTGGGTTCTCATCATTAGCATCTGTCTGAATCTGGCTTCCTTGAGTCAGTCTTCTTTTTCCCGAGTCAAATTGCCTGTATGTGGACGTCAGTGATCAAAGCAGCACATCAACAGTATCCTTAATTGTCTGTTAAGATTCCTTTTAAAGAAAGGAAAGCTGCTTTTCAGTTCTTTCCCCAAAAAACTTAAAAAGAATGTTAATAAAAATAGAAAGAATGTCCATCTGAGTCTCCAGTATCAGGAGAATGGTCGCTAGGTCATCAGGAACACGGGGACTACCGCCCTCTTGAGCATGTCCCAGGTGCCCTGATGTTCCCAGCCCCAGTCCACTGGCTGTCCCTTCCGCAGACACTGGGATGCTCAGGTGTAGCCAGGTCATTCCTGTGGGCACTTGTTGGCCTTGCCTGGGGTCAGCACGTCCGCAGACGGGTGCTGAGAAGGGGCCTGCCTTCGCTCGCCCAGCACTCGGGCTCAGCTCACAGCTGCCTCTGCACACCAGGCTCGGCGCGTGGAGCAGCAAGCATCCTGCCTTTGAGGGGTACAGGGTCCAGGTGGAGAGGCAGGCACAGAACCAGGAATTGTACTGAAGCCCTTATAAATGAGCAGCACCCCAAAGGCCAGCCCAGGTCAGGGGCTCTGGCCCCATAGCGGGAGGAGGGGAGCTCGTGCCTGAGTTGCGAGGGATGAGTAAGGGACGGGGAGAGCAAGTGAGGCAGGAGTGTGTGCAAAGGTCCAGGAGCACATAAGACCATGGTGCGCCCGGGGCTGCCCATCCTGTGTGCTCTGGAGCGTGGAGCTGGCGGGAGGGCAGTGGGGAAGAGGCTGGGAGTGGGCAGGAGCGCACCTTCTGTAACCGTGTTCTTCTCTCAACACATCTGAGCGTCTGCCACGTCCCAGGACCTGTGTCAGGCCTCGGGACCATCACTGCCTCCAGGGCTTTTACTCTCCAATGGGGAGATGGACAGCAATGCAGGTCTGTTAAATAAGTCAGGAGGGCTATGTTTGCCATGGAAACATGGGCAACACAGAGGTTCAGGGAGACTGAGGCCCTTGGGTTGGAGAGAGGATCCAGGCTTTAATAGGGTGAGTGACACCAGCTCAGAGGCTGAGCCTTCCTTCTCTTCATGGAATCCTAATGCTGTTGGCAGCTTGCTTTTCCCGTCTTTGTCCAGAGCACGTGGTGACAGTTGTGGCACATGGTGCTCTGAGGAACACAGGCCCAGCCTGCTGGCCCAGGAGACCCAGCGTTAGGGCACCTGAGGGTATGAAACAGGACTCGGCCCTGGGCACTGCACTCCACGAGCTGACCTTAGCTAAGGCATAAGAAGTCCCAGCTGTAACCAACTGCTTGTGTCTCCAGCTCGTGGCAAAATGAGAAGAGTCAGGGTATTGTGGCGGGGTTTCGTAAAGTCACATGTCTTCAATATAAAAAAGATTGCCTTGGGCTTCCCTGGTGGCGCAGTGGTTGAGAGTCCGCCTGCCGATGCAGGGGACACAGGTTTGTGCCCCGGTTGGGGAAGATCCCACATGCCGCCGAGCGGCTGGGCCCATGAGCCATGGCCGCTGAGCCTGCGTGTCTGGAGCCTGTGCTCCGCAACGGGAGAGGCCACAACAGTGAGAGGCCCGCGTACCGCAAAAAAAAAAAAAAAAAAAAAAAAAAGATTGCCTCTGTTGACTCCTGAACGATGAAAGCATCCTTTCCTGGGGGAGGCAATAATGACAGAGATGGAAGGTTTTTGCTTGCTGACCTGTTTAATGAGTTTACTTGATAAAATCAAGAGTCAGTAAATTCATGTCAACCTCCCAAATTATTTTGAACTTGAGCTTGTCCAGGAAGTACACGATCCAGATTGTCCATCCAGTCAGCAAGCTGCCCACACCTCATCAAGAAGGGCCAGGCCAGGGGAGCAGGTTTGTGACCCCCCCCGCCCTGTTGTCACCCCACCGTTCTCAAGGGCTGACCAGTCCAGCCCCGCGACCCTTGTCTGCAGCTTACTTGGTGCCGTCTGCCTTAGCAAGGAAAGCGGGACACATTTGAATCCTTTATCTCTAGTTTACATTTATTTATTTAGTAACCGCAGACACAGAGGAGCAGTACCCGGCATCCTCCTGCCTTAACACACATCTGACTCCAGCCGAAACTGATGAACGGCGTCAGAGGGTGTTTCCCCATTGATGCCCAGGACGTCTCAGGTGGAGGCGACAGGGCAGGATGAGCTGCCAGGGCTGGAGCGCCTTCTCCCGCAGGCGAGTCCAGAGGGCGTCCAGGCGGAGCAGATGTGCTCCCTTCCCCAGAACACTGCTCTGTCATCCTGGGAGCTGAGTTTGATGCTCCATGGCCATGGGCCAAAAACAAATGTTAGCCAGTAATTCATTGTTGAAAACGTGGAGTGGGGATGGCCCTGGGGAAAGACCTGGGAACGCGTGTGGTCCAACCTTCCAGGCGACCACAGAGGAGCATTAGCCGACTCGCCTCAGGCCACGTGTGTGCCCAGGCGTAATGTCCCTGAATCCTGACGGCAATTCACCTAAAAAATCAAACCATTTGTTAAAGATTATAGTGTACCTGAAGGGAAGAGGCTTCATTCATTCAGCAGATACTTATTAAGCGCTGCCAGTGTGCCAGGCCCTAGGTCACCAGGCCTCCAGAACTTGTACTTGGAGATGGGGCAGGCTGGAGATGGGACAGACCAGGGTGTGATGTGGCAGGTGGTGACCTGCTCCGAAGGAAGGCCAGGAGTGAAGGTAGAGAGTCGGGAGCCCAGGGCGAGGCATCGGCCTTTCCAGGCCGAGGGGGCAGCAGGTGCCAAAGCCCGGAGCGGGAGGCCTGCTTGGTCCGAGTGTGAGCAGGCGGCTGGAGTGTGGAGGTGGCAGGACCACTCTGCCGGGAAAGGGAGTGAGGCTGCTGGCTGGAGGGGCTCGAGTCGCTGTGCTGATTTGCTTCCAAGGTCTGAGAATAACTCGAGCCTCATGCCCGGCCTGCGCCCCAGCCAGACATGCCTGCGGACCTCCGAGGGCTGGAGCCCACAGCTGCCGCCCAGCAGGAGGGGCTTGACCCACGGCCGCGTGATGTGGGCCTTGCACTCAGCCTTCTGTCCTCACAGCTTTCCCTGGATCAGACGATCTGAGACCTGGGAATCTGCTTCAGGTCCAGCTGAGCCCTTTCAACAGTTCAGAGTGAAGGGAAAACCTGTGCTTTTTGAAGACGGCTCAGGCTTCATCTTCGCTGGGAGGGGCCGGCGGGCAGTCCCTCGACAGCCTGTTACTCAGCACCTGTTAGACTAGAGGGCCCGCTGGGTGGGCATCCAGATCGCCAGAGAGAGAGATGGGTCAGGATGATTCAAGGGTCTAACTGAAGCCACCAGAGATTTCTGCTCCTGGCACAAGCCGAGGGTCCCCAGCAAGGGCTGAACAGAAAGGGGTGGGGTTCGAGTTGGGGTTTGGAGAGCACTTGGTGGACACACATGGTCAGTGGTTGGAAGGGCCAGCCTGGAACTCAGAGATGGGACCTGAAAAGGTAGGTTTGGGAGTAAAACCCACACATGTGCCGGGGAGGCCAAGGAGTGCGTAAGGCTGAGGTGGGAGAGACCCTCTCAGGAGAGAAGGGGGCGGCCAAAGAGAGGACCCGGGGGCCCCATCCGAGCCCAGCTTATCAGCACCTCGGCACAGCTCTCCTGGCCCTGGGGGTCTGGGGGATTCACGGAACAAGAAGGGGCTCTCAGACCTCGGTCTTCTGCTAAGTATTTTTCTAAAAAGTAAAATAAAGTTGTGGAAACCATTTGAATAGTGATGGGAAAAGTAGTGCAAACCGACATCCAGTTTTATTTCCTGTGACTTTTAGGATCTCCAGGTACTCAGGTCATAGCACCAACTGCCCCCAAAAGAGGTAAATTGTATTCTTCTCCTTGGACTGAGGCAACTGGCCTGAAGTCATGTAGAACTTTCCTGTTACCCTTTTGGGGGCTGGAAAGTAATTTATCTTTGAAATTTTCACATTTAGTAGAAGAGCGTGCTACACTGTCCGGGGTATCCTGCCTTAATGCCCAGGGTTCAGGTAGCTCTCCACGGTGCTGACCGTGGGAAGCCGTGAGGGCTCTTCCCCATCCCGCTCGGGGGTGTCCTCAGCCTGCATCCCTACAAGGCCCCCCTCTCACACCTAGTGGTCAGCAGTCACTCTGCCGGGTGTCCAGGGCATCCCTCGGAAGCCCTCATCTTGACCACGTGGCTTGTTCAGAGGTTTCTGCTCACGCCGCGGGCTTAAGAGTGCTGTGTTGAGGGGGCAGCCCCTGTCTTGGCGCCGAGTGCTGTCTGTCCCACCGCCCCCCACAGTAGCTCAAGCACTCAGCGCCAGCATGTGCATCTCGCTGCTACTCTGAGCTGTCCCCCAGCCCCAAGTCAGTGTCGCTGTCCTTTCTCCTCCCGGCAGGAACTGGTGGTGGCTCTGAGTCACCTTGTCGTTCAATACGAAAGCAATTTCTGCACTGTGGCCCTGCAGTTCATGGAAGAGGAGAAGAACTACCCACTGCCCTCTCCAGCCACCACAGGTACAGCCACCAGGGCTACGGCACTGAGGTGGAGCCCGTGTGGCTCGCTGGCCCAGGGGGCCCTGGTCAGGACTATCAGCAGGCCCCTCGTTCTGCTAGGTCCTGAGCCCATGTGTCAAGTCGGGGCCACTCAGATATCTGCAATTCGCATCTTCCCAGAATAGAAAGGGCAGGAAAGGGGGCCACACTGACCCTCTGACTGTTTTCTTTCCTTTTCACCCTTTTTGGAAATCAAAGTCATGGAAATCTTGGAGGGTAGAAAGTGCTGCCATAGGGGCTATAGGAAGGCACATTCTCTATCTTCCCCTGATGAGTCCTCACGTCAGTGTCACGTCAGGCAGCTGCTCGTCTCACATTTGTCCTTTTTACCGAATTTATATTTCATGATCTTGAGCTGCCCCCTCCCTCAGACAGCTGTGTCTTCAGGAAAGAGGGCTTGTGATCAGCCATGAGACCATTGCTGCGTTTAGTACATCGGGGAAGGGAAACGGCTGGCGGGCCTGGGCAGGGTGTGATTGGTGAGTGGGAAGGCGGGGGGCTGAGCCAGCAGGTGGCCATCCTGGTGCTACCTTGGGCAGCAGCCGCAGGCAAGTCCCAGAGCACCTGGTATGGTTCTTGGAGAACCATGTGGGCCTCTGTAGTTGAACTCACACAAAACGCCAAGCGTGGATCGTGGTCATCTGCTCCCATGCTCCCCTCACCCCAGTCAGGACCTTGTCCAGCTTTGTACCCCAACATACATGTGTCAGAGACCCTGCTGAGCAGAAGGGCCCTGTTGTAGCGTCACATCATCCAGGTAAAAGGCACTGTCGCCTGCCATCTGGCCGCCTCCCACCTGAGCCCACCATTAACTCTTCTCTCTCCTTCTCTCCTACCAGAGGGTGGGAGTCTGACCCCCGTGCGGGACAGCCCCTGCACCCCCAGACTGCGCTCCGTGAGCTCCTACGGAAACATCCGCGCCGTCACCACGGCTAGAAGCTTGAACAAATCTTTGCAAAACCTGAGTCTGACAGAAGAATGTAAGACCCCAGAGGCTGGGTGCTCGAGTGGGATGGTTGTGGGTCATCTTCTGGGACCTTTTATTAGACGTGCCTCTGCCCCCTCCTGCCATCTGCTCACCTGGGCCTGAGCAGAAGTCGTGGGTCAACCCCCCGGGGTGGCCAGTGATGATCCTGCAGCACCGCTGGTCACAGCTGCTCCTGAGCCCCGCAGCACCCCGCTGCCCCGTGCCCAGCAGCCCAGCCCCATGGGAGACGGGGGTGGGTGTGCTAACTGACGCTCTGCCCGTGGCGGTGCCCCACCAGCCGGCGGCTCGGTGGCCTTCTCTCCCGGGAACCTGAGCACCAGCAGCAGCGCCAGCAGCACCCTGGGCAGCCCCGAGAACGAGGAGTACATCCTGTCCTTCGAGACCATCGACAAGATGCGCCGAGTCAGCTCCTACTCCTCCCTCAACTCCCTCATCGGTAAGTCCCACCCCTCCACGTCTCCACCTGTCCCCTCAGCACCCATGGGTTCCCGCCCAAGTGGACGGTGCTGGGACACATTCAGTGGGAGAGTAAAGTGAACGGGGTAGGAGGAGGTGAGAAGCATCTTGCTGTGGCAGCAGGAACCCCCCGCCCTTGGTTGCTGGTCTGATCCAGGCCATCTGGGCGAGCCGGCCTTGTCGCTTGGAAAGGCTGCAGAACTCCCAGTGCTGCAGAGCAGGGGGGTTCTGCCCCCAGGAGACATTTGGGGTGTCACGGCCAGGGCACAAGGGGGCTCCCAGCATCCAGGAGGCAGAGTGGCCTCCATTGGTGCCCAGGGTCCCCCAGAGAATGCGTGTGCGAGGTCCAAGGTCAGAGCCCTGCTCCAGAGGCGCAGACAGCCCTTCCCTTCTCAAGTTCCCTGGCCAGAACCCCCCCTCACCACCATCCAGGGCCCCCTCTGTGCTTTCACCTTCAGCCAGTCCAGCAGTTTCACACTTGGCTGCCTGGAAATTGAAATTTGAGTGAAGGGTCAGCGTCATCTCGTGTTCTGCCTTGCGTGGTGAGCCCCTGGTTCTGCTGCTGGGCTCGCTGAGCGGTGGGAATTCACCGCATGTCCTCGCTGCGTGACCAACCATATCGACCCTTGTGTCACCAGTAACACACATAGGACTCAACCAGACAGCCCCGCTGTGCTTGTTCTTGGCACCCCGGTGCTTTACCGGGCCTCATCTGAAGCTTTACTTAATACTAGGAAATGCTGTAGATGCATAAAAACGTAGACTAATGTGACAAACCTCCACGTGTGTGTTTTGTTCCCAACTTAAGGAATTACAGATAGAGTTAAAGCACCCAGAGCCCCTCCTGGTTCCCTGCTCAGGATCCCTGCACACTTACTCTCTGGCTGTGGATCCCCATGGACCCGCGCTCTTTCCCAGGGTTTCAATGTCATGTAAATGGTGCCAGATATCCTGTGTCCTCACTCTGCCCTGAGGGCTGTGTGTCCACACTGGTCACCTAAGTCTTGTTCACACCCTTTCATGATCTGCTGCAATTCACTTGTCTATTCTCCTGTTAATGGACAGTAGCCTTGCTCTGATTTTTCCTTCTTTTCTCATTTTCTTTTTTTTTTTTTTTGCGGTACGCGGGCCTCTCACTGTTGTGTCCTCTCCCGTTGCGGAGCACAGGCTCCAGACGCGCAGGCTCAGCGTCCATGGCTCACGGGCCCAGCCGCTGTGCAGCATGTGGGATCTTCCCGGACCGGGTCACGAACCCACATCCCCTGCATCGGCAGGCGGACTCTCAACCACTGCGCCACCAGGGAAGCCCTTTTCTCATTTTTTAAAAAGCAAATTCAGGATTTGGCCCCAGCTCCACCTCCTGCCCTCCCCCTTGTACCTGGCGGTGCTGGGCTCCTGGGTTCCTTGGCTCCTCCCCTTGGCTTCAGGGCTCCGCCTCCAGACACCTCACAGGCTGCTCCTCAGTCCAATCACAGTCCTGCTCCAGAGTCACCTTAAAAGAAGTCTTCCAGGCTTCTCCCACCCCAATCCAGAATACCCTTCTGCAGTCGCTCTGAGTCTCTCCCTCTCTGTTTGCTTTCGTCCTGAGAACTTTTCTCCAGCAGACTTATGATGCAGAATCTCATTTATTCAGCTCGGTTCTATCTCTGCTCAGGGGGTCAGAGCCACGAGTGCAGGAACTTTGTCCTGTCTCCTGCCACAGACCCCCACACCCCGTGCCTGGTACACAGCAGGCACCCCCATAATGTGCACGGGTGTGGGCTGCAGCAGACACACTGCAGCCTGACAGACGTAGGGTCTGACAGCTCCACGTGGAGGGAGATTGACCACAAAGGGCTCTGTTCCAAGGAGGACAAGCTCCCGTGGCCCTGCTCACTCCTGTTCCGGTCAGGCTACCCCGTCTGATGTGAGCCAACCGACTCCTCATGGTCTTAATTTGTATGTCTCTCGATTATGATGAGGTTGAGCTCACGTGTTCATTGGACTCCTGTGTTCCCACTCCTGCAATCATCTGCAGTATTAGTTACCCTCCTATTTCGTTGGTACTATTTTTCATTAACATTCAGTTCTTGGTTGTTTGCTTGTTTCCATGATAATCCCTCTACCTTAGAGCTCACACTCTCTTGGCATCACGTGACAGTGTTAGATATTTCTGACTTGCCGTTTTTGTGATCTGAAGGGGGAGGGCAGTCCAAACGTGCTTGCCAGCGGTACCCATGAGCCTCAAGACTGGTCCTCTGCTGGCCCTGGAAAGGACTCAGGACTCTCATTCCACAAGACGAGTTTGTCTGGGGCCCATAAAGGTCTGAATGGACTGTAGGGTCCAGAGCTGGTCGCCATGCCCCACCCCCAGCAGAACGACCCAGAAAGGGGGATCTTTTTGTCCTTGGCCCTGGGTTGGGGATGTAAGGGGTGAAGAATTGGTGTTTCTTTTGGCGCCACATGAGATTGGAGGGTACAGCCCACGCCTCCCACCCCTGCCGCCTTCCATGTCCTCCAGGGACTTGAGAGCCACGTTACTGATTCCTTCCTTCACACAAAACCCGACTCCTGAACATTTTTTTACTGAATTTTATCTGTATATGGTTCATATCTTTGAAAACTTCAGTGGGAAAGTTTCACAATGAGCCGGAGCTGGAAGGAGCATTAAGGAGACAAAGTAGCTGTGCACCTGAGTGCGCGCGTCCACCTGGAAACCGCGGTGCTTACATAAGTGTTTAAAATTCATAACCTACACTGAATCCCATTACTTGCAGCATTCGCCTGTTTAAAGTCAATTTTTTCTTTCATTTCAACGAAAGAACAGCAGTCTCTAGCCTCTTTGACTGAATATTGCAAAAGAGGTTTTCAAAACCATGGCAACCTAGGACATCCATTCATTGCCATCTTCTCCCAGAAAACTAGCCCCTCCCAGGCTCCCCCTCCATCCCCACTGTCTCTAAAGCACTCGAGGTCTCGCCTGCTGAGTGAGGTGCTGTCCCCCCACAGGAGCAAAGCCTGATCACGCATTTCTCCATGTGCCTAAGCATATCTGCCCAAAGTCTGTGAATCTGCACTGGGACCCAGCTCTGTCACCACCTTCTGGAATCTTTGATGTCTCCCTCCGCATGTTTCTCACCCACTCAGCCATTTGGCCTCTGACCTCCATGTGTGTCCCCAGTCAGTCCTTTCCATTTCCGGGCCCTCCACCCCAGGACTTGGCCTTGGCTCTCACACCCCACCACCCGTCCAGAGCAGATCCCCCCCAACATCAGCTTTGCACGGACCACTGTCTGGTTGACGCCTTCGCAGAAACTCGTTTCCTGTAAAGTCCAAGCTGTGGCCGACACTCAAGACCTTCTGAGAGCAGCCTGGCCTTCACCATAGCTCCGCCCACTGTGCCCACCTCCCCAGGCTGGCCACTGGCCCCCGAATGAGGCCTGGACACCTCTGCCTTTATCCCACATTCCCGCACCCGCCTCTCCACACAGCAGTGCTCGCCCATTCCTCTCCACGCTGGCATTCTGCGGCGTCTCAGGAGGCCCTCCCTGACCCATCAGACGCCTTGGTGTTGCACACACTAAACCTGCGGCATCACATCGGGCCATGAAGTTGCCATCTTGATCAACAGGTTTGGTAAAGCTGCTATTTCTTGCTCTTGTGTGTAGCAGGCAGCCTCTCCTCCCTCCATCACCTGCCCTTCTGTCCCTCACCTGTCCACCTGTCACCATCCTGCCCCTCATTCCCTCCCTCCCTCCCTCTCTGAGCCTCACCCCATTCCTGATGTCCAGAGGTGGGAGTGCAAAGAGTGGGGAAGGGGGGGCCATGGTGCTTTTGTCTTACCTTGTCCCCCAGGTGAGACACAGGGGAGCCCCTTAAAAGGGTTGTGCAAACACACCGCCCAGTCCAGCCAGGGCTCTGTCCAGTAGGCGAGGGAGGACGTGATTAGGACCCTCCCAGAGGGGCTCAGAGTCAGGGTCACCAAGAGGGGAAATGCAGAAGCCCCAGGCCCTGGGAGCTGATTCCCAGGGAGGCGCCCGGGCCCGCATCATGCGATAGAGCATCAGGGTTGGTGACCCCTGAGGCCCAGGCAACAGGTCACAAGTGACAGCTCCTGCCTCCAGGGGGCTCCACCTTCCTTCTCCAAGATACCTTGCCAGCCCCCAGGGACTCTGGGGCCCAGAGTTGGCCACAAAGCTCTGAGCAAATTTTCCTGAGTTCAGTGCTATTTAGAAAGTTGTGGCCATTGCTCTGAAAAATAAATCGTAAAACCATTAGTTATGATCTTTTATTACTTTTAGTCTAGACATGAAAATAGGCTCTCAGCGCTTATGGGGACTTTGGCAAGTGCCAGACACGGCACCCTGTCTGAGCTGGCTCAGCCCAGCGGTACCCCCATCCCCATGGGGGCTACACCCGCGTTCTCATCGTTCCAGAGGCCCGAGCTCTGTGCTGCACAGATTCAGAACGTTCCGATTTGGAGACAGCAGATGTAAAACCAGGACAGTTCACAGAACAGAGAGGCTGGGGGGTGGTGGCCAGCCCCAGGAGAGCAGTGACGTGGAGGCAGCAATTCCAGGTCCCTGTTCTGTGTTTTCACAAGTAGATCGTATACCATTCACTGTGGTCAAGGACACTACAAAAATTAGATTTTTAAAAATTCCCTGTTGAATCACAAGCAGAGTGAGATCAAAGTCGAAATCTTCTGCAAGAGAGTCAACAATAGTAATAAAAACTGAGATTTTGTAAAGTGAACAGTACCCCTTCCTCATTGCACAGTGCCATGCTGCACCCCTTCCTCATGTTTATACCAAAGGTGCCTTGATTAAGGCCCTTGTGGGCTCAGGTGTCTGCCCTGGACCATCACTCTAGTAAGGAGGTCCCTTGGCCCCCACTGTTCTCCCACTTCCCCACGGACCTGTTACCACGGGTCCATCATCTGTAGTCAAGCAGATGTACTGTGCCCTTCACAGCCCTCTTGTCACACAGGTCGGCTGCTGCCCTGATCACTCTGAGCTCAGAAACAACGGAGGGGAGAGAATTTTGCCCAGTGGCTGTGGTGACTGTGTGGGGTCTTTGTAGGAACGTCCCATCCGTGGGGGCCAGTTCTCCTGTCTGAGTGAGCCACGTCCATGAACGTGCTTTGCCTCGTTCCCCTGTGCGTCATGAATCGGGACCGTCTGCAGAGTGAGTGTGGAGCGGCTTCTCCCACCCTCCTCCTCTAGGGAGACAAGAAATAGCAGTGGCCTGGTGGCCCTTCACCGCAGCAGGTTCCTATGGCAGCCAATCTGCTAGGACAGGAAAGCAGCTTCTAGGAAATTTCCCCGAAGAGGTTCCGACTGCCTTGACAAACAGCCCTGAGAATTTGTAAATCTGGGCAGCTGTCATGAGCCGTGGCATTTGAGAGTCAAGAGGTTTTTGTTGTGTTTCTACACTGAGTAGGGCAGAGGACAGCAGGGAGGACAGGTGTGTGTTTCCATGTGGACTGTTCCCCAGCTCATGGTCCCCTCTGTGCAAGAGTGCATCTGCCTGACGTTATTCACCAAACGAAGGTCCAAATTTATACTAAACCCAAGTCCCTGGATGTGCCCTCCTGATTCCTTCCTGTGGGCCACGAGCTTTTGAGAGTGACTTTCCTCGCACACAGTAGGTGCTCAAACTGGTGCTGATGCACGCGTGCCAAATGAGTACCTGATGGGGCGTTGCTCTGACCATAGAACACTCTTCGCCCTTGGTGGCGGGAGATGTTTTCCAGGCCCCGCCTCTCGGAGGTTGGCCTGCGCAGGCAGCTGTGCTCTTGCAGAATTATTTAGAGGCCGCGGCAGCTGTCAGCACCTCTTCCCAGAACCAGGGTGGAAGGATAAGGCAACAGGAGTTTTGTGAACGCTCACTGGGAGGTATTTTATGTGTGGTGGTCCCCTGGGGAGTGCGGCCACACCACATGCGAGTGAGGGGTTGGCCTCCTCCAGCTCCATCACCCTGTGAACAGGCGGGCGTGCAGCAGGCAGGCCCTGCAAACGTAGGCACCACAGTCCCTGTGGAAAGGGGGCTGGGACCCTGTCACCTCCTGTTAACAAATGAGAGGGTGTCAGGTGCGGTGAGCTAGGACTTGTCTGTAAGCATCGACGTAGGACACACACGAGAAGCTGACCTTTACTCTAAACCTTCGTCCAGTCCCTCTTCTGTGATTTGAATGTTGTATAAAACCCTTTGAACAATGGTGTCCATCAGGAAACACTGTCCTCCAGTGGCCCTTCTTGTGTTTAAATTCTTCATAACTAGAGGGACTTTGTTAACTAGGGGCTGGCTGGTCAGATGGCATGAGATCACAGCTTGTTCGAAATCCTCTTTCACTCCCTGTCTGTTGTTGAACAAGCACTTGCTTTTCAACAAACCAATTGTCCAGCTTCCCCCAAATAAAAAGGATGCAGTGGTATATGGCGGCCTCCTCATTCGGCCGCGTGCATTCAAACTCTTCATCCTTTGGATGCTGGGTGTTGCTGTCCTCCTCTGTAAAGCCTGGGGTGATGCCTGCAGCCAGGATGGTGAGGTTAAATAGGACTGAGCCGCCTTTCCTGGGGGTGGCCTCCTATCCCTCATAAATGTTCCTTCCCTGGGCTTCCCTGGTGGCACAGTGGTTGAGAGTCTGCCTGCCGATGCAGGGGACACAGGTTCGTGCCCCGGTCCGGGAAGATCCCACATGCCGCGGAGTGGCTGGGCCCGTGAGCCATGGCCGCTGAGCCTGCGCGTCCGGAGCCTGTGCTCCGCAACGGGAGAGGCCACAACAGTGAGAGGCCTGCGTACCGCAAAAAAATAAATAAATAAATAAATAGTTCCTTACCTTTCCTTCGGATCCATGATTTACCCCATCTGTGTTTATGTCCCGTCTCATCTGCCTTGGCACCCAGGCATTCGGCAGACCCTAGTGTGGAGAGCACACTTGGGAGGTGCTGGATGCCTGGGGAGGTCCCGGGGAGTGTGGGCAGAAGATTCAGTGAGTCACCGAGACCAGAGCAGGCCGTGAATGCAGAGGGAGGTGTGGACGGGGACTCAGCCAACATTCTCCACTCACGTGGGCCATGACAGCTCCTAGAAATCTAGGCGTTAAATCCAGTGCTGGATAGTACTCTCCAGTCAGCCAAGGCCTGAAAGGAAGTCCTGCCCTTTTCTAACTTTTCCTTCTAGAAAGATCCAGCCGCAGGAGGTGAAATGGTGTGATCAAGCCTGTTCACCACCTGGGATTTCTGAATCTCTGGGCCCCTTATCAGATAACAAAACCGGAGCTTCCTGTAACCCCAGCTCTTCTAAGTGTCCACCCCTGATGCATGGTTAGGTCTTCAGAAGAGGGAGCTACCCCAGAAGCCGCCCCAGCGTGCAGTGGCAGCTCCTTGTTATTAAAACAGCTCCCATTTCTCTTTCCTAGGAGTTTCATTCAATAGTGTTTACACTCAAATTTGGAGAGTCTTGCTACATCTGGCTGCGGATCCCTATCCAGATGTTTCCGATTTGGCTATGAAAGTGCTCAACAGCATTGCCTACAAGGTACGTGTGAAGGGCATTCTCTGTGAAGCTCTCAGGACCCTGGTTTTCAGTTATGAATATTCAAGCAGAGAACTCCAGTCATGTTCAGGTCTACGCATGGTTTAGGTTTAGAAACTTTGAACGAGCGTTTTGAATCCAGAGATTCACAATGTAGGCTAAATTCCATGTGCATGTAGCTTCAGTTGGGGCATGTGTCACTGCTTCCGCACACCCACATCAGGGCAGCAGAAAATTAGGTAAGGACATCTGTGTGACCCGTAGTGATGTCCTCTCTTTCATTCCTGGCACCAGTAACGTACAACTTCTCTTATTCATGACTATTTCTGGCTAAAGGTACCTCTTCAAAGAACCAGCTTTTGGTTTCATTAGTACAATTGACTTCTGAACAACACAGGGGTTAGGGACACCAACCCTGACCCCCCGCAGTCAAAAATCAGCCTTTCCCATTCATGTCTCCACATCCCTGAATTCTGTAGTACTGCAGTGTGTGTTTATTGAAAAACATGTGTATAAGTGGACCCGTGCAGTTCAAACCCATGTTGTCTTAAGAGTCATCTGTGTTTCTCTGTTGTTTTTCATTCTGTGTTTTATTGGTACCTGCTTTTATATATATTGCTTCATTTCTTCTGCTTACTCTCAGTTTAATTTGCTCTTCTGATTCTAGTTTCTTAAGATGGAAGCTTAGGTCATTGATTTTCGTCCTTTCTTCTTTAGGGACTGTAAATTCTCCCAGTTCTTTTTGTGAGCTCTGGGAATTATTTGGCCTTTCAGTGGTTCTTTCCCCACCCTCATGGGTTTTCACGCCACCCCCAAGCAGAAAGTACTCACAGATTTGAGGGGCCTCCCCTGCAGACCCTGGAAGCCCTCTCCTCTCTGCCCTGCAGATTCTAGCCACCTAGGCTTCCGTGTCACTTCGATTGGTCCCCTCTGCTAGCTGCACTGCTGGGCTCTGTCTGGATACCCTTCCCCCACCACAGCCGGGTCTGCAGGAAACCGACTGCAGGCCAGGAGCTGGGCAATGATTCCCCTTCTCTCAGCAGTACCTGGTGCCCAATGTCCGAAAACAGCTGTTTCTTTTTTTTTTTTTTCTGTTTTCCAGCTGTTTATGGAAGTTGGACAGTTTACATGCAGTTAATCTTTCATGAATGGAACAATAATGAATGCCACAAAGAAGTAATTCGTTATAGCATTTTTAAAGATTTTCGTAACTTTTTTTTTTTTTTTTTTTTTTTTTTTCTATTTTACTCCATGATGAGAAATTGAAGGGAATATTTGCATTTCTTAGGGTTTTGCATCTGCTGCTGTAAAGCCTACCTGGGGCTGGTTCAGCCCAGAGCCCCACCCTGGAGGTCTTTAGTAAGTGTGCAGCCGGGGAAGCAGGAAGCAAGCCACTCTGCCAGAAATAAATGAGTGAACAAAACCTAGTGTGACAAGCGCACCGTGATCCAGGGTCTCACCCTCACTCAGTGTCTGACCCATCATATTGCAAATGAATATTTCACTGGGACTCCAGGTGAGGCCGTTCAGATGAAAGCCTTTCCAGGGCTGCCTTATTTTCATCCTTTTACCTAATAGATAAATAATAATGAGTAATAGGTAAATAACAGGTAAAAAAAAAAAATGTAATGAGATCAAAATCTAAGTAAACACAGTGACAATGCAAATGTGCTTTCAAGCACCTGGTGTTTGCCGAACCCAACCTCACAGAAGCACTAGGTTCCCCATCTGGGCAAGACTTGCTCCTCTGATATCAGTTTTGAGGCTGGCATCCACTGGTACCATCATGGACAGCGTCAGGCTCAGCGGCCATGGCTCACGGGCCCAGCCGGTCCGCGGCATGTGGGATCCTCCCGGACCGGGGCACGAACCTGCGTCCCCTGCATCGGCAGGCGGACTCTCATCCACCGCGCCACCAGGGAAGCCCGAGATTTTCGTAACTTTTTGATTAAATTTTAGGCTTGCAGACAAGTTACAGGAAAAGTACAGGGAAATATTGTCACGTGTCACAGTTTACCTGGCGTGTCTCTATCCTCATCTGACCCTAATCACTAACGAGGGGTCGTCCTCAGGCTGCCACTTGCCTGAAGGCACGTGGCTTACTCATAGCTTCACTCCTGGTCTGTTATTTTTTCCAAAATGGTTATCAAGCCCTCCTATTTGCTGCTGCCTCACTGGGTTGGCCTCCCATGTAGCCCAACCTCCTGCAGCACCTGGCCTCCTGTTGGCACCATATTTGTGTGGTGCTCGATTCCCTCACCGACGTTATTCTTCACTGGTGAAGTTCTGTCTTTTCCTGGCTGATTGAATCATCTCATTGTCTGTGGCGGCTACTACAGCTCCTGGTAGCATCACAAGTAGTAATAACACAGCCTCATCGTGTACCCAGTCTTAAACTGTTGTAGCAGTCAACTCCCTCTTCCTCCTTAAAGAAGCAATGAGGATAATTTAGGAGCACATTCTGGGTTTAACCCCAGCCTCTGGTCACACGTGTGACTCTCTCTGGAAGCAGAGACTCCTAGGTACACAGTGTTCACTGCGCTTCCTGCCTGTGAGCACTGCCAGCCTCATGGCTAAAGTGCTAGGCATTACTGTTGTCCGACTTGGGACTATCGGGTAGTTTATTCCACTCTGACCTCCCCTTGCGCCCAGTGAGCCCCTCGCCCACTTTCTTCATCATCCTACTGCGTGACTCGCCACAAAGGCACCTGAATGCTGTTCCATCCTCAGGGAGTGTGGAGTCTTCTCAATGTCTATAGAAAAGAGGCCAGTGAATTAAGTTAATTTTTTCATTCTGTAATACAAAACTAAGAAATAGTCTAATCATCTGCTTTTTCAACTAAGAATAGGATTGATTCAAAAATTAAACTTTTCTAAAATGTATGTTTGTTACAACATATTAGGGCCTGTGACCAGGGAGGGAGGAAGTACAGTCTTGGGGAAAGAAACAGAGGAAGAGGAAGGAGGTCCTGGAGAAAGGCACAGCGGACTCGGGTGGGTGTTGTCCTCCTCGTCTGTGAAAATGGAGCCTCCCTGCTGTGCCCGGTCCTGGCCTCACTGATGCGAGTTCCGCTCTTGCGAGGCCGAGGATTGCGGGCCCCCAGGCCCCCAGGAGTGCGGCTCTCCCAAGTGCCAGCTAATTCATCACAGTCACCACCGTTGCTTTAAGTGAATTCTACCTGGGACTTAGAGTCCAAAAGGAAAGTTTATATTATTTATCTAGGAAGTGTGGTTTACAGAAAAATTACTTTTTAGATAAATAGAGTCACGTGCTTTCATAGGTGTCCATTCTCAGTGCTCCAGCAACCAGGGGCTCTGCCTCATGCTTAGCCCAGAATTAACTGTAGACGATCCTTTGGGGAATCACCTCCTCCCACATGAATCCAGATCTTTGGTATGCAGTTAACAGGGACTTTTCTGAAATACTCCATCCCCCAAGAGAGAGCAGCCAAAAGCCTCCGTTGGTGTCCTAAACCCTGACTGTGTCTAGATCCAGTTAGGAAACTCCCTGTCCTCATCACCTCTGTAGGGTATTTTCTCTGCACTGGATCACACTTTCCCGCATCCCTGTGAGGCGACGTGTTCTAGTGGAAGATCTGCAGATTAAGAAAGCGCCTGGAGTGGGAGACTGAGGGAGCGTCTTATTGCGGCCCCAGGCTCCCGTTACAGCGACCACCCCCATTAACTGCACGGGGGCGGGGAGCACAGGTGGGGCTGTGTGTGAGTGTCCCTGCAAATCGTTTCTGTGTTTGCACTGGGCTAAGAGGATGCATCTGACCTAAAATTTGACTAACAAGGTGTTTGCCACTCTCTAAAAAGTTGGCTTGTAGCCCTAATCATGACCTCCTGCTGCTGCCCTTCCTCTTCTGGACTCAACACTTGTTGGGAAGGGAACTCACCTCGGGCCTTCATCAAAGCGCGTCTGCTGGTCCAGTGACTCCAGTGCAGCGTCATGGAGGGAGAATGACAGGGTGTTGACACCGTGAGAACAATGGGCAAGTGTGCTCGCAGTGGTTGGGGCTCACGGTGAGGTCCTGGGGTCTCTCAGACCCACGGTCCATCCTCCTCCATATACAGCCCAAGCCTGACATCCAGCAAGCACACCGGTGTTTCTCTGTTACCCTTTCCTGGCGGTGTGCTCTCTGTGTGAAACGGCAACCGGAACCAGCACAGAAAGGGGCCTTCCTGGAGGGCATCTCCCACAACCTGCTCGCCACCTGCTCCCGGAGCAGCCTCCATCCACACCAATCCCACGGACAGGCGGGTCTGCGTGGCCACCCCCCACTCATGCTCACCACTGCAGCACCACTGCAGTGAATGTTGCACAAATAGGAAACATTAGGCAAAGAAGCTTCATCTAAGCCTGAAACCCTAGGATCGATCACCAGTCATGGGGCCTCTCCAACCAGTGACATGCCCACCTCTCAGGATTTCCAGAACAGATGCAAAACTAGAGCTGTGTGTGGCAGCCGTCAGTGTGAACTGCATTAAAAAATCATGGCTGTCTTCTTTGCCCTCGAGGCTGAGACAGAACAAGCCAGGGCTGTGCCACCTCCACCCCCCGTGAAGAGCAGGGAAGCAGAGTTAGTCACCCCAGGCCCACGCGCTGCTTCCCTTTTGGAGCCTCCTTGGAGGGGAGCAGTCGGGGTGGGCGTCTCCGGGGAGATCAGCACCGTGGGCTCCAGCTCAGGCAGTGGCAGAGCCTCTGTGCTCAGGGAAACTTTGAAAGGTCGTGGATTCAGCCGAAGTCTGCATTTCAACCCCAAAGTTTTCTGTCTTTCCTCATCACCTCCCACTGATTTTCTGGAAATTTTGAGGAGACACATATTCGGTTTATAGTTTCTTAGCTTAAATTTCTTTTCTCCTTTTAGACCTCTTAAGGGATCATTTGGCTCTCAGGCCTTGTTGGGGTTGTGTGTGTGTGGAGGCCAAATAAAATACCAAAGCAAAACAAACACAAACAATACAACTTTTATAATTCAAAAAATAAAAAAGTTTTTATAGGCTGGTTATGATTCAGTTCTTGCTGTTTGCATTTCAAAGTGAAGGATTATCTGGGAAACATTGGTATTATGTTGGTGGTTTTGTATCCTGTAATTTTCTACCTGTCAGCTGAATATAGGTATGGCCTTCCTAACTGCTGAGAGAATAAGCCAGAATTTGAGGGTCTTCTGTAAGTAGCCAGTCCAGGGTTCCCCTGGAGCATCACCCCATGAAGGTCGAGGCTCCGCCCATCTCGCTGGGTGACACCCACTCTTCGAGAACTGAGCCTGGCACCAGCCACACTTGGGCAAGTGGTGGCCAACAGCCGCCATTCCTGTTCTCTTCCTGCCAGAGTGGCGCCCTCTCCACAGCATCAGCCCCTTTCTGGTCCTTTCACCCTGGATGTCCAGATCCAGCAGACCCATCCAGCTGTCCAGCACTCAGAACAGAGGTTCAGGAAAGAACTTGGCGTCAGTGGGTCCACCAGTAGCTAAGCAGTGACACCCCTGTTTGCTTATTGTCTCCTCCACCATTTAAAAATATCACAACAAAGCTGCTTCCCTCCTGACTGCCAGCCCAGGCTGGCACAGACTCTCTGCTGGGTAAAATATCAAACCTGCACGTGATCATGGGAGGAAGTGCACAGACCTGGGTCTTGTCTCCATTCACAAAATGCTGCACCCAAGGTGCTGTTTTGAGCCTGTGCCAAAATATGACAATGAACAACCGAGGCTGAGCCTAGGCAGGCTCCATCCCAAGTGCCAGCTCCGCCCAGGAAGCTGCTCCCTCCAGGAGAGCTCCTGCCATGAGAGGGAGCCTGGAGAGCCTTCTCCCCAACTTCCAGACGCCCCCCACCCCTCATTAGTCCCGGTGCAGTTTTGTGACAGTGTTTCGGGGCGGGGGGCATCCTTGGAGCCTCACTGGACCAGGGGAATACCTTCCAGAAAAGCAACAGAATATCATTTTATCTAGCGGGTGACATTTGCGGGGAAAATTTTAACTGAGACCTTCCATTCGTATGAGATTTCCTCAGCCAAAAGCCCTTTGCTGTGATTTTGAAGCCACTCAAAAGCAGCCACCAACCTGTGCTAGTCTTGTAGCCTCAGGTTGTCACAGTGACCACCCACCTCACTTGTCCCTTTGTTCCTTCAGGCCACAGTGAACGCCCGGCCTCAGCGCATCCTCACCACCTCTTCCCTCACTCAGTCGGCACCCGCCAGCCCCACCAACAAGGGCATCCACATCCACCAGGCGGGGTGAGTGGTGGGCAGCTGCCCTCCGAGATCTGGGGAGGTTCCCAGCACGGCCTCCCCCTGCCTCCCCCTCCCTCTCCAGCCTGCAGGCTCTCTCTCACACCCCGACATCTTCTCATCTGAGCCCCTCCTAGAATCCTTTCCTACCTTTATCTGCACAATTGTGACAGCAAAAGTTGAACTGAACCTGACTCCATTCAGAATTTTATTAGAGAGGGTCCGTGTCTTCCAGTGAGTGACCAGCAGGGTGGAACCCTCCGCTTAATCAGTGTTCACAGAGCTGTGCACTGGATCTCAGGGGAGTAGACGTGCCCTGCACCCTCCTGGAGCCTACTCAAAGTCCTGACTGAGTTTGCCTCCTGCTGCATTGGTTTTCAGGGGAAGATGGTTCTTAGAACCTGCAGGCAGAAGCTAGAAGGGGTCATTAATTCAGCACCAGCAGCTCAGGTTTGGAAGGCACGTTGACAAGCCATGCAGTTGAGGATGGTCCAAGCTGGTGACCCTGGGCCCATTCGCAGGATCTGGGAGTGGGCAGTACTAGGGGAAGTTGCTTAGGGTTTGGTTTCAAAGGAGTGTGTTCTGGGTAAAACACAGTGTTTCTTTTTTCCCGACGGCAGAGGCTCCCCGCCAACATCCAGTGCAAGCAGCTCCAGCCTGACCAACGACGTGGCCAAGCAGCCGGTCAGCCGAGACCTGCCTGCAGGCCGGCCGGGCACCACAGGCCCCGTGGCGGTGCAGTACACACCCCACTCCCACCAGTTCCCCCGGACACGGAAGATGTTCGACAAGGGCCCAGACCAGGTACGGATGTGGTTTTAAACACTAACTCTAATGGGCTTGGGTGCTGGGACGTTCGCTCCTGAGAGGAGAGACACCACCTCGGGCGACGGCCTTGGCCCGGGTGCAGAAAGCCGTGAGCCACCAATGGCTCTGGACTCCTGCCCCCACGTCTGGGCAGATATCGCAGGGTGTCCCTCTTCCTCCTGCAGCCCCTTGTTCTGGGTTCACTCTTGGCAGCTTCCATGTAACAAGCAACACATGGGCTGATTGGCTTTTTCCCTTCTCAGTCAATAGCATTTGTCTCCACTAAACGTGGCAGCTGCTCCACAGAAGCACTTGTTCTGACAGGTTGTTTGCTTTTTCCATCAACATTCAATTATGCCCCGTAGGTGGGTGTGGTCTCAGCCGCTAAGTTAAACGAGGCTGTTCAGGAGAGGGAGGAATTGGCGTCCTTGTTTGTCAGGGTTGTGAGAACACATAACAGGGTGGACACAAAAGCTGGGGCCTCGTGTCTTGTCCAGACTGCTTGCTGCTGTCCCAGCCAAGCACAAACGGTATAGCGAGGGTGTTCTGAATGCGCCAAGGACACGTCTCAGCTCACCAGTGACCGGCAATTTTAACAGGAAGGTCACAGCAGCCTGCACCCCGACTTTGAAACTAGATGCAGGTGTTGGGGATGGACAGGTGTCCACACCTGCCACCGGCCCCGCCCACCTGGCTTTGGAGCTGCCTGCTCCCCTCGCCTTGATGGCTGAGGAACAAAAATGGCCACAACGCCAGGTGCCAGGTTTAGCCTCCCTGCTGGACCCTACATGGGGCAGCCAGGCAGGAGCAGCTGGACCATGATCCGTGGGTCCTGGCCCAGCAGAGCCGCGAGGTGGTGGCAGGCGGCTGCGGTTCCCCTGTCAGGCAGGAGGTAAGACCTTATTGCTGACCCCATCTGTGGGATTTTCCACCCAGTGCATCTCCCTGGGTAGCGGGGGCTCCTCTGTGAGGCACTTCTCATGCCTGGCCACGTGCAGTGAGGCAAACCCCTGCTCTGCCATCCTGGCCCCTGTTGGTTTTGCAGCGGGGAACTGAACCATTGTCCCAGTGAGCAGAGCCACGTGTTTTAAGTTTTAATGCTTAGAAGTCCCAGCTGGCCCAAGCTCTACTGTGCTCTTATCCAGGAGCCAGAGGGTAGGCCAAGGTCCTATGTGTATGACTGGCCTGGTGGGAGCAGTGGCCCTGGGACCAGGCAACAAAGGCCTCGTGGGGCTGCTGATTCAGCACCGATGGCAAGTGTCAGGGACTCTGCAGCCCAGGCCACCTCAGCCAGCCCTGGGGGATGCTCGGCCTCTGAGCACAGACTCAGAGCCCTGTCCTGACAGTCGGGGTTCCTTGGGCACCAGGACGCAGAAGTGAGGGGACCACGGAGATATTGCCCTCAGAAGCCTGACCCCTGTGCCTCGGTCTCCAGGGCTGGACTGTCTCGAGCTCACAAAGAAGTTTGGGGGTGACGTGACTAACTCTGTTTCTGTCTTCTCCTTGCCTCCTCCTTTCCAAATGCCCCGAAGACCACTGACGACGCGGATGATGCTGCTGGGCACAGAAGTTTTGTTTCGGCCACAATGCAGACAGGGTTCTGCGACTGGAGCGCGCGGTACTTTGCCCAGCCTGTCATGAAGGTAGTGGTGCGTCAGCAGCTCTCAGGGTTTAGAGCCAGGGTCCCCTGGCGTGCACTGCCCCCGTCTCCTCAGCAAACGCACACAGGACTCCAGAGCCCCGGCCTCAGGCCTGGGTGTCCGAACCCCTCTGCTCTGAGCCCAAGGTCTGATCCCCACTGGTTTGCTCACTGTGACCCTCGGGGGCCACATGCTGTGACTCCTAGCAGCCCAGGTGCAGTTGTGCAGGCCCTGCCCTGAGCCGTGGCCCGGGGCAGGTGCCGGCTGCACAGGGCCCTGCTGTGCCCACTGGCCTCCTGTCCCACCGAGGGTGGCTGTTGAGGGGACGCCAGATTGCTGTCATGGTAGCTGGGATTAACAGGTAAAAAACGGTAAAAGAAACAGACCTCACTTACCTGCCTTTTCCGAGCTTGCCAGTATAAAATGTGCCATTTCGTCTTGATTAGCAAGGTCATCCAGGTGGTCCCCAGGCCACACTTGGGCCGCTTCTGACTTTGGGGACTGTTGGACTAAGCTAGCTGACTGGGGTAATCTGGCTTATTCCGGGACACTGCCTTCCAGGTTTGATGACGTGACGTGTGTCCTCTTGCTACAGACTCAGGCCACACATTCAGGGTGCCAGGGTGAGACAGGGCAGTGCTGTCAGAGCTGAATCTTTGTGCCCGTCTTTCAGCAGGGAGTGCTGCAGGGGTTCATTTTAGACTTTGCTGGTCTAAAGCACGTTCTTACAAAACCACCTTCCTCTTCCCTCATAGATAATGGAAAATTGAAAACTGCAGTTTATTCTCACTTGTATATCAAGCTACATACCCAAGTAATTTCCAGGAAGAGTATTTGGACTCTATTACAACTTTTCTCCGGCCTTCCTGTTTCCCTGTAGTGATACTGATTTTTGTCAGTTACAACACGGAATAACAGTTGTCAGTGCCTGAGGCAGGTGATAGAGTTCTAATTTATCAAGCCCCGTTGCTGAAAAGGAGAAGCACTCTCTCAGTAGTGAAAACTAGGATCCACGGAAATGTCCAACAGGAGGGGAATGGTTAAAAAAGGATGAAGTATTTGATACGATATTATTGGAGCTATTAAAAAATAAAGCTTTGAAATTAGTAACATAAGAAAATGCTCATGATAAAATTTCTTTAAAAGGGAAAAAAAAACAGGACATAAACTGGCCACAGGATGGCCATACTTTCTACACTTAGCACGAAGTACCTTTATAATCAGGAAAAAAATATATTAAAGAAATGACCCTGGGACTTTCCTGGTGGCGCAGTGGTTAAGAATCTCCCTGCCAATGCAGGGGACAAGGGTTCGAGCCCTGGTCCGGGAAGATCCCACATGCCGCAGAGCAACTAAGCCCATGTGCCACAACTGCTGAGCCTGCATGCCACAACTACTGAAGCCTGTGCGCCTGGAGTCCGTGCTCCTCAACAAGAGAAGCCACCGCCATGAGAAGCCTATGCACCGCAACGAAGAGTAGCCCCCACTCGCTGCAACTAGAGAAAGCCCACATGCAGAAACGAAGACCCAACACAGCCAAAAATAAATAAATAAATTTTTTAAAATAATAAAAAAATAAAGAAATGACCCCAAGAGATCACTGAGGCCTGTTACAGTCAACCAAGTGTATTGTCCATGCCAGGGTCGGCCTGCTCCTGCTGACCTGTCTGCCTGCGGACAGGACATCTCGGGCTTCTCTGGCTAAGAAAGGAGGAAGTAGGCAAACACCAGAATTTGTCCCAGGAGACAGTTCGTCGCTGGTGCTGTAGGTAGCGAGTTGTCCTTTAGATCTGTGGTACATACCATCTGCTTGAAAGTTAAGGGGGTTTAGTCTAATAGTAATGGAAGTTCAGTTTCGTTAATACAGTCTCCTACTTAAGGCAAGTGCGGCCAAGTGACTTGGACTCTAGGTGGTTGGTCTGCCGTCTCACTGAAATGGCAGTGACTGTAAGTCTCGGAAGCTACTTGGTGGGGTGCTGAGTGGCTGTCCTTGAAGTCTCCAGGGATGCCTGTTCTCAGTCATCTACCTGTGGGGAGAAGTGGCATAGGTAATCCAAAACATGTTTCTCTTAAACTTAGAAATGAACTTGACTTTTCCCTAAGGATTTGCTTTCCTTTCCTCAGCACCGAGTACTCAGACTCAGAGTGCAGGTGTCCTCCAGCAGTGCACGTCAGCTGACCGCGGGGGGAGGCTCCGCAGGCCAGGGCTGCGGTTTGTGGGGACCTCTACTTACGTGTTCACGTGTTTCACTCGGATGCAGACCCACAGCCACCACTGGAAAAGGCGAAACAAAGCTGCAGGGACAGAGAACAGAGGGCAGGGTGTTGGGCTGGGGCTTGGGGGAGGGCTTGACTACAGAGGGCACGTGGCAGTTTGAGGTGTGGGGGACTGTTCAGCATGCTCACTGTGGTGGTGGTTACATACTGTGCCCAAAAGGGTGAAATTTAATGCATGTGAACTGTATCTCGGTCACCCTGATGCTTTACGAGAAGTGTGGCCTGATGTTGAAAATGCCCACATTTGGGTATCAGTACCTGCAGTGAACTCTGATCTGCACTTCAGAGCTTTTTCCTTGGCAGTCAGTGGTCTTCACCCCTTAGATGTCATGCCCAGAGGTGGCGGGTTGAACCAGGTGAGCCCGCAGCCAGTGCACACCCTCCCGGCACTGCTGACCCCCTGTCATTGTTTGGGGAGAGTGTTTGTTATTAAACAAGGTGAGAGGCAAGCGCAGAGGTACTCTGTCCTGCCACAGAACTCGGCTTTGTTTATGGTGGGAACCCAGGGAGCTCGGTGTCTGAGAATTTAGCATTGACATCATGAGCCTTCCCCAGGGGTCATGCTGCAATCGTGATAGTCACGTGCCTGTCATGAATTTTATGCACTTAAACCTCTTTAAATTCAGAGGCATTGAGGGTAAGACCCAGCCCTGTGATTCACAAATTCATCATATGAGAACCTGCTCCACGTGGAAATGCCCACCCTCAGGCTTCTGCAGACCCTCTGGTCTTCCTTTGTTCCCAAGCCCAGCCTGCCCCAGTGACAGGCAAGGAGCGAGGGGGACACCCTCACCAGCCATCAGCTGCCAGCTCCTCAGGAGGCTTCAGGAGGCTTCAGCACCGTAATTGGTTTCTGTTTGAGGAGAAGCCAGGAGGTGTTAGGAATTCGAGGAGTGTCGTGATCCTAATCATGTAACACTATTTCCCACACCCACGTCCCTCCAGCTCTGCTTAGAGGAAAGCGCAGCACAGTGTGGGTCTGGTCTTTTGTTTAGTCAGAAGCTTTTGTTCAGCCTGCAGAGCCATGGGGGAGGGGAGGAGCACATGAGCGGATGATTAAGAAAGGCTGAGTGGGAAATCGGCTGTCTGGTCCCTACGTCCATCCTTGTCCATCCCGGCCGGCCAACGCCGGCTGCTTCTCATGGCCTCTTCTGCTCTCTTGTCCTCTCCTCGTCTCACTCCACCCTCGCGTCCCACACTGTCCCACTGCTCTCCGCCCCTGCTTGTCCTAGTGCTTCATGGCGATTATCCCCAAGACGATGCTCTCACTGGTTCCTGGGCTGCGGTTTAGTTCAGTTCAGTTCTGCAAGTCCTTCTCTGAGCTCAGCAGAGCCTGTATGCCCGTGGGACCGCTCCCGGGAGCGCCACACTCTGCTGCTGAGGACTCAGCCCAGGGCAGTGGTGCCCGGCTATGCCGTGGAGGTCAGCCTGTGTCCCCAAGGCACGTGTGGCCACACTCCCATGCGCAGCTGCCTCCCGTCCCCCTTCCTTCATCCCACCTGCCCCCACCATGGGGAGTACAGTCCAGAACTTCATGCCTGCCTGTCTCACTCCCTTCCTGCTTGTCTAGACCCTTCCTCTAATTTATTCCCGCAGAAACGAGAGATTCATTCAGGTGCAGTCTCAGTCTTTTCATGTGGGGTTTTCTTATTATTGTTCTACGTTATTGGTTATTTGTTATTTGTTTTCAGATAATCTCTGGATTGTCATGAAACAAAACTAACTGGTAAAAACCCACCGTCTATCCCAAGTACCTTTGTGGGGTTATGTCTACGGCACTAACTGTGCTCTGGAGGCTCTGGGTGACTTTTCTTCGGTTGTCTCTGTGTCAGGATATCTTTGCTGTTTTGCTGGGCGTAGTTTTGTGATTTTTAAGAGAAAAAAAGGAGTGTAGCAATGAAATGCTGGAACACAGAGGCCTCGGCATCTGTACACAGGGACGAGGTGAGGTTTGGGGTTGTTCATTTGTGATCAGAGATAACACAGAGCATTCTAGGAGAAGACACGAAAGTGCTCCATGACCATTTCATGTAATAACTGCCTAAAATGTGAGCTGAACTCCTCTCTGTGTAGACGTTACCTCATTTCTCAGCCACACTTACACACGGGCACGTGCACACGACCACGTTCACTGTCCTTCATCCTGATGCTTTCTCCAGGATGAATATGGGCTCCTTCTGCCTGTGTGGTGTTACCTGGCTGAGTACAAGGCTGGTTAACTCAGCTAAGTGGAAGTAGGGTTTTTCCTAGTTTACTGGATTCCTTTTGTATTTTGGGATTTTACAACTCTGAGTTTTCAAGCAGGGAACCAGAGTTAGCCAGATTGACTATGTGATTTAGGAGATACATCTTTTTTACATGACAAGTGATTGTTATGAATAAAGTAGACTTAAATCATAACTTATTATTTGCTAAGTGTGGCCCTCTCCTAGGCACACCCATCCGTAGCCCACATGCACCCACGCCATGCACACATGCCAGCCATGAAGCAAGAAGGGCGCTTATCCAGGAAAGGGGACTGTTCAGCATCCATATACTTCACGTGCAGATAAACTCCGTCTCTTGAAAGCTGATTAGGGAGGGCAGAAGTTCTCTGGCATAGGGTCGAAACTCCTTCCTCAATCCCCACCTCTGCGGAATCCGATGCCAGCTTCACCCTCTGCTGCATTAGGTGGAGTGGGGCAGGCCGCAACTCCCAGAGAAGATCCCACCCTCAGGCCTGGCCTGCCTCTTGCAGCTGTCATGGGGTAGCCATGCCCTGGCTTCTGTCCTCTGTCACTTCTCATGAGCTCGTTCATCTTCTAACCAGATGCCTCTGTTCCCTTTGGCATCAAAGAATAAAAGCAAAAGTCTCTGAGCACAGCCCATCTTTTTCCAATTTTGCATTTAAGGGCAAGAAGGAGCAAATTTAGTGTCTGGCACAGCAGGGCCCTTTGTGTCCCCTCCTTCAGAAAACACCCAGCCCTTATCCCTGAACCTCCCCTCAAAATCTGTCTGCTTTGAAAGCAGCCCCCCTGCTGCCCTGTCAGAGTGTGACGGCTTCTGGCTTCCACCACTGGGCCGTCGTGGGGGCAGGGGTTTCCTAAGTCTCCACTCCGTGTCCCCGCGCCAGCCAGCTCTCCCGCAACCCGGTCCCAGGTCTCAGAGCCTCTAAGCCCAGCGGCCAGCAGTGAGCGGCACTCCCAGCATAGAGAGGGAAGCTGCTTCGGGGATCCAGTGACCAACCTCTGACTGTAATGCTCTGCTTTGGCCTGCGGTAGGGCACTGGACACTTGGCTGACCAGAGAACCCAGGTTCTTTAGCACCTGCGGAGGAGGAATCCTCTTATCTGAAAATAATTGTTTTTTTATTGTTGAAGATCCCGGAAGAGCATGACCTGGAGAGTCAGATCCGCAAGGAGCGGGAGTGGCGGTTTCTGCGAAACACCCGCGTCAGGAAGCAGGCGCAGCAGCTGATCCAGAAGGGTAAGCAGTGTCCCCAAGGGCCACCGCGGTCGTTGAGCAGGCGCCCACCCGCCATTGTGCAGGGGAGAAGTGAGGCTGGCGGAGATGCTCGAGGGAGGGAGGAGTGCCAAGGTGGGGGCACTGTCCACCTGCCTGACAAAGCCTGGTCCCAGGAGACTCTGTGCCTTTGCCCTCAGGGAGACTTAGAAGCTCTCTGGGATCATTGTCCAGGGAAGCTCCTGTCTTGACTGGCAGCTTCTGGACAGCCCCCCCCCGCCATTGTGCAGGGGAGAAGTGAGGCTGGCGGAGATGCTCGAGGGAGGGAGGAGTGCCAAGGTGGGGGCACTGTCCACCTGCCTGACAAAGCCTGGTCCCAGGAGACTCTGTGCCTTTGCCCTCAGGGAGACTTAGAAGCTCTCTGGGATCATTGTCCAGGGAAGCTCCTGTCTTGACTGGCAGCTTCTGGACAATTGTGTCTTCTGCCTTTTGTCGTTTCCAGAGAGGAAGGAGCAAGCCCTCCGCAGGCCCTGGGGTCCACGGCAGAGTGGGCCTGTGTCCTCCCCATGGGGACAGAAGACAAACACCAGGCCCTGGCTGTGTTTACCTGGACCCCACCAGGCCCCCAAATAATTGCTCTCTATCACCCAAAGCTGTGTATCAGTCACATTTCGACCAAACCTTTTACTAAATTTGCCAACAGATGCCCAAACCTCCCACTTTGCATGCCCCCCAGCCCCACCCCACCCCCACCCCCGGTGAAGTGGCAGTGAGCAGCGTGGACACGCGGCTGCCACAGGGAGGGCTGCTGGGCCGTGGGTCCTCCTCATCTTGGCTGCAGCAGCCCCCTGGCACTGAAGCAGGGTGGGAGGGGGCAGCTGAGGGCCTCCACCCTGTGATCAGAACAGGGACAGAGTACTGGGCCCCTCACCACCCCCCAGAGACGAGCCTCTCTCCTCTCCCTCTCCCAGCAGTACAGCCCCCGCTGGCCCGGGAACCGACCCAGTCCCACAGCTGTGAGTGCACAGGGCATGGGCTGGTCTTTTGGCTCTGCCTGAGCCCTCATTGCTGGGCCAGCTTTGGGCGGTGGACTGACCCTGCCCGGGTACCGCACAGAGTGGATAAGCAGGCTCTTAACGCTTCTGTTGAATTATTGTCGTGACCTTGCCTTCCTGTCCTGTCAAATTCTCTTGATTATTACGGGTTACTTTTTAAAGTTGAGAGTGAGAACCCATGAGACCGTCCCTGCCTGCAAGCAGCCTGGAGTCGGGGTCTCGTCCCTGGCCCACCTGCCCAGGCCCAGCGCACTCCTTGGCCCACTGAGCACTTCCAGAAGCAGTGCTGTTTCGGAAGCACTTCGGCATGCGTTCACAGTGCTCTCCGTGAGATGCTCGGGTCACGTTTCATTAATGTGCGGTCACTTCTGCTAAAACTAATCTTGGTTGTTTGTAACTCGCCTCTATGAAAGCACTGTCACAGCTGGATGTAAAGCCTCTGGGGATGTGGAATTCAGAGTCTGCAGCTTTCTCCAGGAGAGAGTGAGCCGCCCAGCTTGATAGAAGCTCTCCGCATTATGGGGTCAAGGGCCTGTTTTCTTGGAAGCTGGTAGTTCTTTAGAACCCCAGGCCTATGGACGGGGACAGCAGAACAAATTGGTTTCCCTGTACCCACGGGCGCAACCTGGGAGCCAGTCCGCTGCGCGCAGTCGGACATCTGAAGGGAGTGAAATTAGAGCCAGCCACTCGAGAAACAACCAGGTTTTCCGGACAAAAAAGAAAAAAAGTATCACTGTAAATTAGGGTCAGGGGTTCTCTTTTCCAGTCTTTGTGGAAAAAAAGAGGTCTGCTTGTCAGACACACACCAAGAAGAACTGCTGAGCCGCTGAAAACCTTAGCAAGTGAGCTTGCTGACGGGAGCATCACTGCCGGTGGACGTGGGCAGGGAGGACAGGGCCGCTAGTGAGGCCACAGCCTCCTCCGCTACCTGCCGCGCTCAGAGCCCGGACTCCTCATGAAGTTGCAGTTTTATCTGAGACCAGTGGTGTGCTGGGAAGGCTGTGAACAGTAGAAGTACAGGAATCACGCCTGCGGGCCGAGCAAAGGCACCGGACAAGTCAGCGAGGCCCCGCGAAACGAGCTGGGAAAGTTAATGCTGCCTTTTCTATCCATGACCCCTCCGGCCACCCACCGTGACACCATGACTTTGCCATCATACATGGATCTCTGCATGTCTGCAGAACACCTGCAGTGACTCAGGACCTGGGTGTCCCCTCATCTTTCCTGGGTCAAATCATGCCCCTGTCCTGGGAAACCCATGGCTGTGGGGGAAGGCACCTCTGGGCAACAGTTAAACCCTCCGGGACCTGTTTGCCTGTTAGTTTAACCCTGTCTTGATTGTTGAGTGGTTTTCTGTGTTAGTTGTTTTAGCAAAGGGAGGCGGAAAAGGACTGAAATCGTGGGTGGCAGTAGCTCGCCCGGCCGGTGCCAGGTTCACGAAGCGTGAGCAGCTCCTCTGTGTCACCCAAGACTTGCGTCCAGCCACTGAGGAGGGGGTGACTCCGGGGCCTGAGTGTCATGAGGGCTGCTCACCCTCTACGACGTGCAGGGAAGAGGGGCCACCACGCCTGGCTCCTCTGCGTAAGCCTGTGTCATTCTCCAGAAATGTATGTGAACCTGTCGGATGCTCTTAGCAGTTTTATCCTCTCTTCGTTGTTCTTCTAAAGCTCCTTCAGGGCCACGAGGGTTTTTTCCCAAGTGGCTGTATTGGGGCCTGGTGAACAAATCCCCGTTCACATCCTTGGCTGGATTGCAGACAGCGATGGCCAGACCGAGGCTTCAGCCTTGGGTCTCAGTTACGAATCTCAACCTTACTGAGCTTTATTCCAGAATCTTTGGTGCTCTTTTCCTAAAACCTTAACCAGCGTGCACTGATCTGAGTATTGCTGACGGGTTGTCGCAATTATATATCGAATGCTAGCCATGTCCAAGCAGAGGCAGGGCCCTGCTGTCAGGAGCCCACCCCTGCGCTGTAACCCCTGCTTTCCTCTGGGCCCCTCCAGGTCCCCAAACATTAGGGACTGGTGTTGGCCTTGGTAAAATACATCATTGACATTTGCTGCAAATTGAGACCCATAGTCGTGTGTTTCCCTTGGCAGGTATCACAAGGCTGGACGACCAGATATTTCTGAACAGGAACCCTGGTGTCCCCTCCGTGGTCAAGTTTCACCCCTTTACGCCGTGTGTGGCCGTCGCTGACAAAGACAGCATCTGGTACGTGGGGCACTTGCAGGGCTGGCCTTTCAGCTGGAGAATAGGTAGACCCTGGGGGATGGGGGCAGGATGCGCCTGCACCCTCCTGGTGTGGAAACGCCTCAGCCTGGGCCTTTGGGCTGTTTCGGGCGGGGGGGGCTGGAAAACTTGCCGAGAGACGTCCCTCCTCCTGGTGTTGCCCGCGCCCTCCCAGGGTTGCACTTGGCCACGTTACCACAGGTGTTCCAGAGGCCTGAGCATGGTTATGTGTGGGCCGGGCCGGGAGCTTCTGGTACGAAGAGGGGGCCATTCCTGTGTAGTGAACAGAGACCGGTGCACAGGGGCTCATCAGGATCCCACAGTGACAGGACATGTGAGGAACCCACTCGTGTGCAAGGGCAGCAAGTGTGTGAAGGGAAAGTGTCAGTAACAAGACACCATGTTAATTCATAGTGACCATTGCCCTTATGTCACTGAGAAAGTGCTCACTTGATGGGAGAGAACTATGGACGCGATTCTTTTTATAGCTGATAAAATGGATATAATTCCTTTTTTTTTTTTTTTTTTTTTTTGGCTGTGTTGGGTCTTTATTGCTGCACGCGGGCTTTCTCTAGTTGCGGCAAGCGGGGGCTACTCTTTGTTGCGGTGCGCGGGCTGCTTCTCATTGCAGTGGCTTCCCTCATTGTGGAGCACGGGCTCTAGGCGCGTGGGCTTCAGTAGTTGTGGCACGTGGGCTCAGTAGTTGTGGCTCACAGGCTCTGAGCACAGGCTCAGTAGTTGTGGCACACGAGCTTAGTTGCTCTGCGGCATGTGGGATCTTCCCGGGCCAGGGATTAAACCCGTGTCCCCTACACTGGCAGGCGGATTCTCAACCACTGTGCCACCAGGGAAGCCCAAAATGGATAGAATTCTTACCTGTTTCTTATTCCTCTCCTTTCTTTATACATAACATAAAATTTACTGTCTTCTCCGTTTTTAAGTGTGCAGTCCAGTGGCATTAAGCACATTCACCTTGTTGTGGAGCCATCACCACTGTCCATCTCCAGGACTTTTTCATCACCCTAAACTGAAACTCTGTCCTCATGAAACACTGACTCCCCCTCCCCACTTCCCAGGCCCAGCACCCCACGCTCTACTTCCTGTCTCTATGAATTTGTCTATTCCAGGAACCTCATATAAGTGGAATCATCTAGTATTTGTCCTTTTTTTGACTGGATTATTTCACTTAACAAAGCAGGTGTCAGAACTTCCTTTCCTTTTAAGACAGAATAATAGTCCATGTGTATGGACCACATTTTGTTACATCCTTCATCCATTGATGAGCATTTGGGTTGCTTTCACCCTTTGGCTGTTGTGAGTGACACTGATATAACCTGGGTGCACAGTGTATACCCAGAGGTGGAATCCTGGCCAAATGGTAGTTCTGTGTTTAGTTATCTTGAAGAACCACTCTTGTTTCGCATGGCAGCTACACCATTTTACGTTCCCACGAGCAGGGCACAGCGTTCCAGTTTCTCCACATCCCTGACAACATTTGTCCCTTTCTGTGTTTTTGCTGGTGGCCGACCTGGTGGGTGTAAGGTGGTATTTCCTTGTGGCTTTTGTTTGTATTTCCCTGATCACTAGCCTTATTCCTCTCTTATTCCCTGAAGTTTTTGGGACTGGGAGAAAGGGGAGAAGCTGGATTATTTCCACAACGGAAACCCTCGGTACACGAGGGTCACGGCCATGGAGTATCTGAATGGCCAGGACTGCTCACTCCTGCTCACAGCCACAGGTGAGTGGGGTTTGTGTGGTGGGGACCTAAACCCCAATGCAGAGGTGGTGGGGGACAGATGCAAGATCCCAGCACGAATTGGCACAAAGCTTCCTATGACCTTGATTGTTTCTTCTGGCAAAGGGGACTAATCACTCCCAAGTGGAGGCCTCCACCATTAAAGGCACACCCATGGGGAGAGGTCCTGCTGGCAGCTCTCCCCAGGAAAATAAAGTCCAGCTCCGGCCCAAAGCCAGCCCCCTGGCAGACATCAGGCAGGGAGGGGGAGGACGAAAACCCAGAGTGGTGCTGGCAGCCAGTAGGGTCAGTTGGGGGTTTGAGGACAGGTCACACTGAGCCTCTCTGAGCGCCAAAGAGGAGGCAGAGAGGGTGATTCTCTGGGCGCAGAGACACAGCAGAGGAACCCAGGGCCCTTCAGGAGTCGGGTCCCAGTGGAGGTGCAGCACGAGGCTTGAGTTCTCCAGCAGGGAGGCTTCACTTCTCAGCAGAGATCAGGCAAGTGTTTCCCAGTGTGTCCCCAGATGACCTCATCCTCCCTCTGCAGCTTGAGGCAAGGTCATCCTTGAGGGCCTCGTGTGAAGGGCTAGTGAGGCCAGAGAGCAGGGTCCTGGGGGCAAGCAACACCAGGAGGAAGGAAGGAAGGACAGATGGACAGACAGCCAGGTGGTGGACCCACACACTCAGGCCCACCTGGCTGCCCATCTGCCGGGGCCTCTGCCCCATTCTGAGCCTGGAGAGGCAGGAGGAACAACCCGCCCATTTCCTGAGTCTCGTGTGGGGAGGTGGGGAGAGAGAGGCCCTGAGCACCATCCCCTTGAGACTGCCTCTTCTTGGCAGGTGATCCCCTGGGGGGTGGGGGGCAGGATCGGGGATGCTGAGGCGGAGGTACAGCCCTGAAGCCCAAGGTCAGGCCAGAACAGGCCTCACTCTGCCTCTGATCTGCCTCACCAGATGAGAGACCCATCTGTCCCTCGGGCTGGGCAGCCTTTGTCCTCTTGTGCCTCCGGGGGAGGGCCCTCCTACCCTTCCCAGAGCAGCCAGGCCTGCATTTGAATATCTTCTCTTGTCTCCCCAAGATGACGGTGCCATCAGAGTCTGGAAGAACTTTGCTGATTTGGAAAAGAATCCAGAAATGGTGACGGCCTGGCAGGGGCTCTCCGACATGCTGCCCACCACCCGAGGTGGGTGCTCCCTGGGGTCCTGCAGGCGCTCAGTCCACTCAGACTCCCCAAGTGATGACCCAGCCAGCCTCCTCCTTGGGAGACTCTGCTCGTGGGTGGAAGCCCTGCCGAGCTCTGACCAGCCCACAGCCCCCGTCCTTGCTGGAAGCTCATGTTGCTTGTGAGAGCATGGCCGCGGCAGGGCCTGGGGCTGCATTCTGTGCCTCTCGTGCCTGAGTTAATCACCTCTCAGTGATGAGCACACAGCAGGCGCCCCAGTTGTGTCTGGTCCTACGGGGGAGGCCAGTGCGCTGCCTGCCTGCCCTGGGCTGACAGAGGCGTGGCTGCAGCACCCACCGGCCACTGCTGTGCGTGCTGCCTGTCAGTGTGCATGGCTGCCCCATGCCCAGGGTGAGAGACACCAGTACCGCCTGCCGGTCTCTGGGTCCATTGTCAGGAGGTCTGCACCTCTCAGCCCCGCGCTCGCTGTTCACACAGCATTAATGCGGCCGTGGGTCTGGATTTCCAGAGACACCCTCAGCCGTAGCCACCCTCCAATGTAGTCGCAAAGCTGCTGCCAGATGGAGGCTGGAGCGGCTTGCTTTCGGCCCCTCTGCTGGCCTGGGGTCTTTGTGTGTCCTCGTGTGGCCGATCAGGTGCCTACATGGCTGCTTCTCTCCCCTCCGTCAGAGCACTTGTCCTAGGGAGACGCCGACCCCTGGGGGCACAGCTGGTTCCACAGCAGACACTTCCTTATGTGTTAATTTTTTAAATAGCCATGTTTTTACATTTTCTTCAGGAACAAAATGGTCATGCATACCCACCTCCACAGGACCCAACACAGCCGTTTTCTTGTTGCCCAGGCCCCTCTGGGCCCGGTCCTGGGCTAACATGGATGACAGCTGCCGTCACAGGTCCCTCTGTCTCCCTCTTGCCTTTTCCAACATTGGAGCAAAAGCCTGATCCCTGCCCTGCAGCGCCCCCACCTCCCACCCGCTCAGCCCCCAGCCCCACCTCAGGCCCGCCTCAGTGCTGCTGGCTGCGGCAGAGCAGGTGGCTGACGGCCTCCCCTTGGCTCTCAGGTGCTCACGCTCACAGGTTTGTTTCGCTGCGGGACATGCTGGACGAGTTGAATCGTGGTTTTCAGTCCTTAGCTTCCTGCCGCCGTCCAGCAGGACGGGACACGCCCCAGGCTCCCGCCGTTCCGCAGACCCCTGTGCAGGGAAGGCAGGGGCTGGTCGAGAGCAGGGTCAGCCTCCCGGCAGGGCCAGAGAATGAAAAAGTGGGGAGCCCACTGGCAGCCCAGTGGATACACTGTTGTCTAGTTTATTCCTCTTGCAGCGGCCTACCTACCTGCTGCCCCCAAATACCTGCCACCCCCAAATGATGTGTCTGTGGTTTTTTACCTGCGATGCCACTTGCCTTTGCTCTAGTGAAGGTGAGAGCAAGGGTGGACAGCATGCAGTTTGGGGCGGGGCGGGGGGTGGGGCGGAGAGTCTAGCTGGGAGGAAAGGAGGCTGAGGTGACAGCAGTACAGTCTCAGGGCTCCCCTGCACTTGTCTCCCCCAGACGTCACCTGTGTGTGGAGAGCTGCTCCTGGCCCAGGTGTGCACTGCAGCCCTAACTTGAGAGTGGTTCCACTGCTGTAGACATGTTTCCTACAGACTCCTTTCTGCTGGACCCTCTCCCTTTCCTGGGTTTCAGAAATCCCCCCAGGAGAGGCATTGTTGCTGAGGGGTCAGGAAGCTGGTGGGGGTCTTACCTCCAGGTCTTTATCAGCAGGTGGGGTGAGGGGGGCTTTGGGCAAGCACACAGCACTCCTCGGCTGCTAAGCCAGAGTTCGTTTGGTCTGTCCCCTGCCTTTTGACCAGGCAGCTGTGGGCTTAGCAAAAAGGAAGACGTTATTTCCTTGTTCTTTCAGGGGGATGGAAAGTGGAAGGGGTGGTGAGCCTGGGAGGCTGACTGCTCTAAAGGATCAAGACAGGAAGGGCTTGTGTGCTGCCGGGCCCAGAAGGGGCACACTGAGAACCGGGGAGCCTCTCCGGGCCCCACATCCTTCAGTCTCCACAGCTTCCCTCTGCAGCACGGGGATCGCAGCCCCAGCAGGGCTGGAGAGACCCCCGATTGTAATTTCTATTTCAGGAGCTCAAGCTCAGTAACCGAGGGGCAGGTCTGGTGGAGTTCTGACCCCTGTGCCAACTTCTCGTTGCCTTCTGCCCATCAGCACCTTGTTTCTTTTTCTTCACCCGCCTTGGCCTCTGACTTGACAGTTACAGAGCTGTGGGCTGGGACCCTGCGGGGAGAGCTAGCAGCTTCCACAGCAGTTGCTTGTCAGCGTCTGGGGGGACCCCCACAGCTTCAGAGTTCTGGCTGTGTTCCCCTGGGACCTTGTCGGCCAGAAGCAGCAGCCCCCGCTCCCTGCTCCAGATTACCGCCCACCCCCCCCAGGCACGTGAAGCTCCCTGTGCTCCGCAGTGAGGTCCTCCGCCTAGTCTCGGGTCCCAGGCAGCCACGAGCTGTGGCGGGGGAAAGAGGCACCCTTGGGGGCAGGGGGCTGCGGTCATCAGCTCCTCCACGCGCCTGTGACGGGGGATCCTGCACAGCTGTGCACCCCATGAGGCCTGGCCCACCGTGTCCTTCAGCTACAGAGGGCGTAGGGGGTCTCATTTGTGAATGCTGCTGTGTAGGGCACGTGGGAGGGAGGACTTGGCACTCCCTGAACAGTTAGAAAAGTCTGCCTGTGAGGTTCTCCTGCGCGCTCTCCAGCTCAGAATCTGCTCGCCAAGTCGCATCATGGCAGCTTGTTAGCAAAGATTTGATTCCATGGTTTGTGACTAAAGAGACTGTTTCTTGCAGGAGCCCTACCCCTGCTTTTCGGAAGTCATGTGAAATGTGCAGGGTCTCCGCATCATCTTAGCATGCCCCTGGCTCCCGTGTATACATGTGCACACAGGCATGGGCATGCATGTGCACACATGAACACGCTCCTGTGCATGCATGTGCAGTTAGCCTGGAGACACTCTGCTCATGGGGTACCCCGCTGTCAGGAGAACTGAAGTCAGTCTGGGTTCACGGCCACCCCCGGAACTGAGCGAGCCGTGTTCTGAAATAGAACCAGTGGTGGGACTGCCCGTCCTTGGGCCACGGCGCCCACAGACACCCAGATGGAAGCACACTTCCCACCCCCCAGAGGCCTCCTCACTGACTGCTGGGCCCCATGAATGAAGAGCTGTCCTCACTCTAAGGACCTAAACGGAAGTGTCTGCCCTCCTCCGGGCGTGGCCAGTGAGTCAGCTCCTGCTGGTTGGGCTGCACGAACTGTGTGCGCATCCGGCCACTAACCTCCACTCACTGGAAGTGCCCACGCCATGTCGGGTCACGTTTCCCCCAAGTCATAGCGCTTCCAATTTCCTGTCTAGAAAGAGAGTCTTTTTAGCCAAAAACCCTGATAATTGGGTTTTCATGTTCATAGGTACATTTGGCCCTTTTTTTCCACTGCAGCCGTGGCCTGGGCCACCGTCTGCCCCTCCCTCCTGTTTCCTTCTTGGGTGCTCCCCTGACTGTTTGTGGTTTGTTTGATTTTGGCTGATTTGACTCTGGCTGGCCTGCTTTCCCTTGCATCAAGCCCATAATCCCTGTTTCCTCGCAGGTCTGGCCCGAAAGGTCTCAATCTTTCTTGACCGCAGTAAGCAGGGAGGTGAGTGCCTTCTCCCTTATCTGTGAGTGCCAGGGGTGGGAGCCGACTCCTCTGCTTTGCCTGAGGATGCTCGCTAGCCCGCTGTGCTCTTCAGGCAGCAGAGGATCAGGGCTGTGGTTTTTCTTATTCGTTCCATCCGCACAGTCTCCTCCAGTACAAAAAAATCATCACCAGCTGAGCACTCAGATCTCATGGGATGAATGAGGTTGGCTGTGTGAGGCTCTGGGAAGAAATCTTAACGAACACTGTAGACAGGACTCTCCCTGGGAGCCGAGGCCTCATGGTCACACCTCCCAGCCTCCTTGGTGGCCTCACTCACTCTTGGGCTGGCTCAAGGACAATTCAGTTCTCTGCTCCAGGCCACCTTCACAACAGCCTGGGAATGGAAAACAGTCCAGATCCAAGCCTGCTGGAGTGAGGATGGCACAGATCTGCAGGCTTACAGGGAGGAAGCATATCTCACGATTCCATTAGGACAGAAAAGTTGTTCCAGATTGAGATTTGTGTTCCCACCAAATTTTTCAAAAAAGAATCTTTTTCAGAATTTAATGCAAAGTCTCTTAAAGCATCTGTTTCCATCTGAAAATCCATGTATAAGTTTGATAGTTACTAAAACACCTATATGCAACTGACTGTGGATACACATGGTAACACTGGGTCAGCAAACCCATATGCCTGCTCAAAACGAGCCCTTTTCTCTCCTAAGCTCACTAGTCAGGTAAATTGTATAGAGATGGAGCCTTATGAATCCAGGCAGCAGATAGAATTCTTGACCTTTAATTTGAGTTTAGAGTATGACCAGCCTTCTGGTGAACTTTCTGTTCTGGTCTGTCTTTAGTCGCTCCCTAAACAAGTGTTCCCTGCAGGAAGGCATATGTGGCTACGGGTCTGACGGGGTCCCTCGTGCCTTCAGAACTGGAGTGGGTAGAGAAGCAGGTCCCAGGAGGCTGAGAACAAGATGTCCTTACAGATGTACAAACTCACAGTTTTGTATTTTACAAAGGACTCTTTTAGTAAAAAGTTCAAAAGGAAGGAAAAAGAGAAAAGAGAAAACCCGAGACTGACTCAATCTTCACTCCTTTGCTTCCCGCCAGCAGTGATGGTGGTGGTTGTAACAGGAAGGATTTCTCTCAGAAAGAGCCTCCTGGGTTCTCAGAGGAATGACAGGGTCACTTGCCCTGAAATCCTGAAGAGGAGCCAGGGAACACCTTTCACGGTCAGGACCTGGGGCGGCCGGAGGAGGGCAGCCCTGTCCCCTGGTTGTCAGCTGCCCAGGGGGCAGCAGCCACCCCAGAGGGCAGGGAACAGATCGTCCAGCACCGGTGTGTGTGTGAACTGGATGTAAACCTTGGGCCTTGGGTCAGCTGTTAGTATTCGTTGCCTGGAGCAGCTGGGCAGCAAGCAGGGCGCCGACCGCAGAGCACAGGGTGGCTGGCGGGGGGAGTCACGGCTGCCCTCCCCTCCCAGCCTCACTCCTCCTCCGGGGTCACAGGCACATCCAGAGTCTAAAATTAGCAGGACCTGGTGAGCAGGAAGCCCTCTCAGTGCAGGAGGCAGGACGCGGGGCCGGGTGGCAGCCCCCGTGGGCCCACGCAGGACGGGGCACTGGCCTGCGGGGAACGACGGCTCCCTCCTCTCCCAGGAGGCGTGTGCCCCACCCTGTCTCCTCTGACCCTAAGCAGCTGCCACGTGTTCTGGTCCATCTCCCAGGTGAGAAATGGAAGTTTAAGTGAAATCATTTGCTCCCAAGGAGCCCAGTTTTCTGTTGCCAGCTCTGTCCTGTGTCTCTGAACCTGCCGGCTGTCCAGGAGGTGTTCATGGGCCCTGAGGGAGGCCTGATCCCATGGGGAGGCACTGTGTCTGCATCCCTGGGGAGGGAATGGAGGTCGCCATCCCACAGGTCTGAGGTTCTCACAGGTGCCTGGTTGGGCAGGGGTTGGCTCCTCCTCCTCGGAGTTCCAGAACCATAGCTCCTAAGGGCGTTTCAGGTTGGGGCTGATGGGTCCTTAGGGATCAGGTCTACATGACATGTCCTCAGAGGTCAGATCCCCATGTTGGGTTCTCAGAGGTCCGTTCCAGACAACAGGGTCCTTAGAGGTCTGGACTGGCCTCTGAGCCTGGAAGGCTGATCATGGACATCACAGGGACCCAAGCCTCTGAAACAACGTGTTTCTTCTTTTCACTGTCTGCCGGGCCTAGGGTTCTGTCTGGTCCCTGACTTACACGTTCCAGCTTCCTAGTCTACAGCCATCCCTGTGCCATACGTCTATATTTTAATGAAGAAATTCCCTCTTTGGCCAGCTTTTGGATGGGAACATGTGAGCAGGGCTCATATCTAGGATAAAGTCAAACGGGAATCTCTGCATCCTGGTGCGGGCCGCCCACCACCCCTGGCCCCAGGCAGTGAGATGGATGGACCATGATCTCAGGCACTCAGGGTGCTGGAGTTCGCCCAGTGGGGGAGAGGCTGCAGCACGCGCGGAGCCTCCATCAGTCGAGCACTCTCCGTGTCGAGGCGGCAGCGTCGACAGGGAGGAGGGGCCCTCCTGGGGGGAGCCCAGAGCAGCCTGCCTGCTCCCAAAGAAAAAAAAGGCCAAGGAGGCCCAGGGGAGGGAGGAGGGGCACAGGCTCTCCCCACAGCTGTCACTTTTCTGGGGATGGGGAAGGAGGAGACACTGCTGAGGCCGTGCTCCCCAGGAGCGAAGTGATTGGAATCTTCACTCTGGTTCAGAGTCACAATGATCCTGTCTTATGAGTTTTACTTAAATCATAGCCATCAATTTTGTTCCTTGTGCTCAACATGTCAAGGAAGAGTGTCACCCTTTTTATCATCTTTTACCAACTCGTGATGAATCAGATCATCTCTCCTCCACTGTGTCTGGAGGTCGAGACACAGGCTTGGTTGGGAAAGGTCTCGAGTGAGAAGGCCAGTGGTTGTGTTCTGTTCTGGGCAGGAGGACGGGCCAGGACCCCAGACCTACAGGAGAATGAGGTGGGGGTCGGCAGGCGCAGGAGGTCGGTCAGGGTGCAAGCAGACTGTTGTTTTTATCCCAGCAGTTTTCACGTTGATCTGAGACTCTTCCACGGATAGGAGCTCACTGTCTTAGGTGACACAGCTTCCGCAAACAGTCTGGTAGAGCTAAGGAAGCAGCCTCGCCCAGATTTGTCTGTATACATAGGACGCCTGCCTCCCCGGCGTGTACAGGACTTGGGAAGACCTTAGGAAACACGTTTCTTGTCTCTGCTGGCTTCACCATGCTTTACAACTGGTTTAAACCAGAATTTGGTCCGCATCAGAGAATCTAGATTTAAAACAGGACTCAGAGCTCACGTGATCCACGTCCCCAGGTCCTCTGGGCACACCTTCCAGAGCCTCCAGTGCAGATGGAGACACTGGGGCCCTGTGTGGGAGCTGTGTCTCCCCAATTTCACGTGGTGGAGTCCTCGGCCCCAGCGCTCAAGAGGGTGACTGTATTTGAGAGAAGGATTCAGTTGAAATGAGGTCACTTGGGTAGGCACTAATGCAGGGCAGGCCCCCACTGGCTCTGAATCCACCATGAAGGAGACTCAGTGAGAAGGAAGCCACCACCACTTCATTTGGAGGCCAGGTCGGGCTTCTTACCCCATTGGGAGTGGCCGCGGCCTCCTCTCTGCTTCCTGCATGGGCGTGGGGCTGAGACCCCCCCTCCCTGTCCTTCTGTGGTCCCCCCAGACCCTCCCCAGCTTGTTCCCGTGACCCCAGAGCATCCCAGATGTCACCTGGCCACATGCTCTCATCGGAGGACCACTCCTTAATTACACAGCTCCTGAAAGCCCCACAGGGCTGACACAGAGCTCCAAGTACAGTTAAGGATGCCCGAGAACACAGGCCACCCCATCAGTGGTCCATGGACACAGGAGTCTGTGAGCCTCTGCAGTGACCTGGTGCCCCAAGTCAGGTCGTGGGTGGGCGCGTCCTCTGTGATTCATTCACATCATATACACCGGGCACATGGTGAGGGGAAGCAAGTGGTGTGGTGTCAGGCTCTGCTTGTGGGCTGACTGGTCACAGTGTGACTGGGCTGTCCCGGACAGAAGTGGGGGCCACATGCCCTGCCCTCTCCCCTGCCAGTTCTGATCGTGGTGACAGGTGAGAGGCCTCGCCTGCAGCCTTGTCACCAGTAGGTGCCTTTCTGGCACATTAGGGTGTATTCTCCTGCCTGGGTTCAGGGGCGTTGCGGTGGGGAGACTGCATTCTAAAAGGTGAAACAAAGGCTCGTCCATTTGTTGTGTGGAGCTGACATTCTGCAGGGTAGACATGGCAGCCACCAGCGAAACAGGGAGGACGGGAGGGGGTGTGTCAGATGACACATCTGGCACAGGTAGAAGACGGAACAGAGTGAGTCGTAGCCTCACATGGTCGAGGAGGTGAATGAGCACGATTTGGAGGGGCTGCATGGATGTCAGGAGAGGGGCGTTCCAGGCACAGGTCCCACTGTCAGTTAAGAGGACCAGCCTGGTCACTTTTGGAGCTCGAAGCTTGCAGGGGCCAGCGCAGAATGGGAGGCCATTGGGGGTCTCTGGAGTGAGGGTTGAGGGGCTCAGATCCAAGCAGGAACCTGAAGTGACACATACAGATGAGAGTCTGGAGTTCGGGAGAGAGATCGGGCACTTGGAGGGAACTGCATAGCCTGAAAGGGGCATATCAGAAAAGAACAAGTGAAGGTCACATTGTCCAACTCAGGAAGTCAGGAGAAAAATGGGCACCCACAGAGAGAAGGGGAAACCACAGAGGCAACAGGAGCTGCTGCCACAAAAAGCAGAGACAAATGTATAAAAAAGCATGATGACTTCACTTCAGACTTCAGTATGACCAAAAGAAGACATAAACAAAGTTATATTGTCAGTGACAGAATAGGAGAGGATATTTGCAATATATGAGTTAAACCATCAGTGTCAGAATGTATATTAAAACACACAGGCTGCACACACCAACATCGACCAGGATTTGGGGAAATCACACCTTGTGTCCATTTCTGATGAGACTGCAGACCAGCATCCACTCTGGGAGTGAAACGGCCTCGCCTGGGGAGGTGGGACGCACAGGGATATGTCCCCTTCCCGGTGCTACCACTTCCTTGTGCAAGGGCATGTGGAAACGTCAGTGTGGCGTGGTTTACAGGCAGGGAATCGTGGAAGTGACGGGCTCATTCTCCAAAGGCGTGTTACCCAGCAGTTCAGTACTAGTTAACCAGATCTGCATCCGTTGGGTTGGATAAACCCTCAAAACTTAACCTTACTGGAAAAACACAAATTGCTAGAAAATATACCCCCGTTTGAAATTGGCGACGTTTTTGAAATGTGGGAGATGTGGTTCATAGTTTTGGACATGTGCCCCTGCAGGGGAGTGCACAGGGGCCAGCCTGGGAGGGCGCCCAAGGCCTGTGGGTGATTTGTCTGGGGACAGGACAGGCAAGTGAGGCTTTCACTGTCTTAAATTTCACTTCAAGAACAAAAAAAAGAGCAAAAATGATAAGATATTAGCAGCTCTTAGATCTGGGTGGTGGGTACAGGGGTTTCTGTTGTGTTTTTTCTGTATGTTTGAAATATTATTATTAAACATCTTAAATCTTATTTTATAGTCCCTCCTGTGAGGTCAGTGCTGCCCTTAGGGATGCTGAAGGCATTTGCCCCCCGCCCAGTCCAGTGTGGGGAAGGGCAGTCCTCGATTCATTCACCACTGACCGTCTGTGGTCAGCCCCCTGCCTCCGTGAGGGGCAGCTGCAAAGCTGTTCACCCCCAGGGGACTGCGGGACCCAGGAGACTCACATCTCTGTGCCTCTGACACCCATTCTAAAGTCTCCGGACCTGCCGGTCATGCCCAGGTGTCCTGGAAGGTGGGCATATTGGACAAATGGTCCTAAGATCCTGCTGTCTCTCTGGCAGATGCCTGGGTACAGCAGAGATATAGAGAAGGCTCTGAATTGTCACCCCGATCTCAAGCTTGCATGAGGTTGGGGACCCACCCTATGGGTTGGCACCGACTGCTTGAGCTATTGCCCAGAACAGGCTCCCTCGGTGACACCGGTGCCCGTCTGTGTCTCTCCAGGAGCTGGGATGGTGGTGGACTGGGAACAGGAGACCGGCCTCCTCATGAGCTCGGGAGATGTGCGTATCGTCCGGATCTGGGACACGGATCGTGAGATGAAGGTGCAGGTAAGCACACCGTCCCTCATGGGGCCTCCCTGGGGGTGAGGCGGACCAGTGGGTGCAGACCCTGCCGTCCTCCCCAGCTCCGATTGCCCTCGAGGTCGAGGGCTGAGAATGAGGGTCCTCGAGCACCCCCACCCCACCCCGCCTCAAGTACTCTGAGCAGGTGGTGTCTGTGGTGTCTCCCACCTTTTAAAGGGATACGATGATTCGGTTTCCATCCGTGTTGGATTTCTTCCTTGTGTGTGCCTGAGAGCAGCAAAACCTTTTCTGATTGGAAAAGCGCTTTTCCCCGTCTGGGGGCCCGTTTCCTGTCTCCTGCTCTTTCCTGCCGTGCATTCATCACGCCTCCTTCCCTTCTCCAGCGTTTACAGCTGCCAGGAGGAGAGGCGAGGAGATGGTTTATGGGCGGCAGGACTCCCCCTAGACCCTTCCCTGAACTAATTAGGAGTTTTAAGAGGGAGCCGACAATGATTCCTCCTGCCGATATATGCTTCGTCTTCCTTCTTAGGAGAGAGGGAGACTTTGGAAAGTTTAATGGGCGCAGAGGTGTTTGCGGCCCTGCCCTCCTGGCTGCGGGCCTCGGGTGCCCGGGCTGTCACTCAAGCAGATGGAGCCTGACTCCCTCTGGGGCCCAGCTCCTCAGGCCTTGACAGCTTCCCCGGTGGAGACAAAGATAGCAGCTCCACGCCAGGGTGACGAACGCACCCACGGTGGCTGTAAAAGGGATCCAGCAGCTAGTGGGGGTGGGGTGGGGGGCCTGATGCCAGGGTGCCTCACGGGGTCTGTGTCGGCCCTAGGACATCCCCACAGGTGCCGACAGCTGCGTGACGAGCCTGTCCTGCGACTCCCACCGCTCCCTCATCGTGGCTGGGCTCGGCGACGGCTCCATCCGCGTCTACGACAGGAGGATGGCGCTCAGCGAATGGTAATTGGGCCACGCCTTCCCCTCCCTCTGCCAGACAGAGCCAGCCCCCAGAGCCAGCTGGGCACTCCCCCCAGAGCCACATCCCCCAGCGTGTGGAGGAGCACGGCTTCCCACCAGTGGTGGATGGGCTGTTTGGAACACAGGTTTGGGGGTCGGGGGATCCCAGCAAGGCGCTGCCCTCCTGGGCTCCATTCCCACCTGAACATAGAGAAGGCTACCACCTCCCGGGTTGAACTCAAGAATAGCCAAGAAGATGGCGTCAGGGACACGTGGGTGCTGTGCAGCGCTGGGCCACATGCATTGTCGTGGCTTTTCTGGGCACTGCCCCTCAGCCCTGGGCTGAGGCCCAGGTGGGGCCCAGCACCGTGCCCTGTGTGGGCCGGTGAGCATGGAGGTCCAGACACCAGTCACACACGGATGGTAAATGGCAGAGCAACGCTGGAACCCAGGCCCAGCCGTCGCGGGCTCCCGGGTGATGTTTACTGAACACCCACCTTGTCCCTGAAAACAGGCCTGGCTTTTGAATGGGAAGCAGCAGGTGGGCCCATGTGCAGCCACAGGAGCTAAAGGAGCCCTCGTGGGAGGGGACAAGGGGACAGGACTGAGCTGGGCCTGAGAGCAGGCGAGCACCACCAGTGACCCCAGCCAGAAGAGAGTGCAGCTGTGAGGGTGCAGGGCCGGGAGTAGTCGGGGGAGTCAGTGCAGGACCCAGGCAGGCAGCAGAGGCGTCAGCCAGACTGGCGGGAATTTGGTCCTGAGGCTTGGATGGCGAGTGGGCCCAGGCAGCCCCTGGCTTGCATGTTCCCTGCGGGTCTCTATGGGAGGGTGCCCACTGAAAACCCACACTACCCACCAAAAGCAGCCATCGTGGAGGTGGGGGAGCAGGGTTTCTTTTTGGGGTGATGAAAATGTTCTAAAATTAGATGTGTGATGGGCGCATAGCTGTAAGAATGTGCGAAAGTCACTGAATATGTGCTTTTAAAGGGAGAGTCTTACGGTATGTGAATCAAATCTCAGTCAAACTGTTATTTTAAGAAGCCTCTCTAGGCAGGCAGTTAACTGGCAAACCGACCCAAGAAGACCTGAGGGTCACAGAACGGCCATGAGGGAGGGGCTGGGGTCTCCAGAGCCCCCTCTTTGGCCCAAGGTCTGAGGACAGAGATGTGGGGTCTCCTGTGCATCCCCAGGCACCGAGACTTATGTGTGCTGGGTGTGACCTGTGTCCTGGATGCCTTCCCAGGTGTCACACTCTGCCCCCACCTCCCCAGCACGTGCATCCCCAGTCCCGTACTCCCTGTCAAGGACCCTCACCAGGCCTCCAGGAAAGCCCCTGTGTCCCTCCATTTCGACAGCCTTAGAGTCTGGGGTTCTCGGTCTTGACCCTCAAACCCACAGGGAGATGCCAGTGTGAAGTCCTGGTAGGGGGGCTGGCGGTGCCCAGGCCCCGGGAGGGCATGACAGCCACCCTGCCTCCGGAGGTCCCAGCGTGGCCCAAGGTGTTCGGAAGACCCCCAGGGAGGGGCGTACCTAGGGGGTTCAGTCACTCTCAGTGAACACAAGAGGGTGAGGGCAGACCTTGCAGCACCGGAGGACCCCAGACGCTTTCAATAAATGCTCTGTTCCCTCTGCTCAAAACGAAGTCCACCCTGCCTCCCATCCTGATGCCTCGGAGCATCAGGGACACCCACAGTTGTCACCAGGCCCTGACCCCACCTTCCTCCCCTCCAGCCGCGTCATGACATACCGGGAGCACACGGCCTGGGTGGTGAAGGCCTACCTCCAGAAGCACCCTGAGGGCCACATCATGAGCGTCAGGTAATGAGCATGGAATATTCATGAGACATTTTGCTGTAAAAACATTATTTTCCCTCCATCTAAAATATGTCCTTGGTATTTAAACAGCTGGGAAAATGATGGCATTTCAGGGTAGTAATTAACTTCTGCTCTGGGACTGGCCAGAAAGGTCAGAGCCAGCACAAGGGTGGGGACAGCAGGTCCTCCCACTGGAGAACTTTGCCTGTGGGTGACTTGCAGCGGCAGGGGACGGGGTGGCAAGGCGGCTGGGCAAAGCCTCCCCGCAACAGCGGCATCTGCCTGGCGTGTGCCAGTATCACTGTGCAGATCCGTTGTCTGTCCATAAATCCATTCCTGCGGCCCG